ATATTGTGATTTCAATTGATATAAACACTTGAAATTCGTTTTTATAAATCATTTCTATTGCCGATCTGTGCTTTTGCGTTCTTTTTTAATCAGTTAAATAATAGTATTAGTAAATAATAAATGGGTAAAATGACTCAGTGGGTTGTAGCTCAATTGGGAGCACCGATACTAAGGTTCTACTCCTCGCACGAGTAAAATCCGGGTGGTGCTGGCGACTCACCTGCACTTCTGTCGCAAAGTGACCCTCTGGTATATTTGCTCAGTGCGACAAGCCAGTGGGGATAGTTTAACCAATAATGGTGAGGTCTTTAAAAGAAATAATAAATATCACACAATCTTAATCTTATTGCAGATAATTAAATGAGTAATTTGTAAAATTTCATTTTTCATTAGTTCGCTTTAGAAATCTTTTACTCATTTTTACTCAGTACGCTTCAATGTTTCTCAATTTTTAGGCTTAGAAATTTCTTCAAAATTTTTAATTTTTCATGAGAAATAAGTTTGTTCGAAAAAAGGCTTAGCTCAAAAATTTTTGAAGGCCAAAATTCAAAATTTTTTAAATTAAAAATCCGATGTTCAAATCAAACAATGTAGACTTCGATTGCAAATGATTATTTCCTAGGATGACTCCAGGAGTCATTTTTTTTTAGTAAAATTTTAAGTTATAAAATTTTTTTCGAATTTTTTCACCAAATCTTTCAATTTTGGCACAACTTTGGGCAATGAAAAATTGCATTTTAAGTTTTTGTAAAATTTTAGCGTAATGATATGTAAAAAATAAGTTCCTCACTAAATATATAGTAATCAACAAGTATAAACTGCAATTGTGCAATAAATAAGTCATATCTAATCAATAAATCGAGGAATTTCAGGAGAAAATGTTTTAGTAATATTGCGAATAAAAAAAAATATTTCATACGATTTTGAGACGATAATTATCGCAGATTTTATTGTATTTATTAAATAAATAAAAGCTTGTTGGTTCGCCCAATTGACGGCGACAATTCAGCGCGGCATTCTAAAAGATTGCGATAAATTTGACAATAATAATTGGATGGAGTAAGAAAATTCTTCGTTTACAATTTTTCGTTTTAATTTCAAATTGAATTATAAAAGTTTTTCAACAGTGTTTTTAAAATCATTTTTTAAATTTCAAAATTAGAAAATTAAAATCTTTTAAAAGTAAAAAGTCATGACATGTACACTGAAAACGAGATTATCATTATAATCTTAAACTTGAACTTTAAATAAGTTATTTCAATTTTATGGGAGGCAGAGTAGTCGAATATATGAGAAATGATGGTTCGGTTAGAGGCCTGGCAGGAGTAAACCTATCATTAAAAAATTCGAATGGTACCGGACATATAGTTTAGGTGACCCACATGTATTTTTGGCCACACTGGCGAAATTCTAATCGTACCACAGCGAGGCTCAACTAACCGGAAACGATAAAAGCTACCCACTTGCTTCATTTATTTTTTATTATTTAAAAATAAAAATAAAAAACTGCCTTTGAATGTTCGAGTTACACTTTTATTTATAAACGACCCTTTTTTTTTAATTTCAGTGCAGCGGTATTTAATGAAATAAATCGTCGACTTGCTTCACTTGTTTCGTCCTATCCACGACATTTTTTTGCCTTCAGCATTATTATAACACTTCTGTTATCGCTATCGTTATTTAATGTAGAAGTTGAAGATGATATAAGGAAAAGTTTTTCCCCTTCCAAGTCACGAGCTAACAGGTTCGTCATTTATTTATTATTCAAATGCTGAGGTGATCCCGTGATCCAATGATCATTACGACGCTATGCAAACAGCATATACGTACCAGTTTTTTTACCAGTAGTTTCCATTCATGCAAATTCGCGCGAAACATGCAATTTTTCACACAACGCAAGCCCTATGCTTGCATATTCTTGCTAACCAATTGTTTCAACTGAAATCTTAATTTCACTAATTTCTTAGCAATTGATTATAATCCAACTACTTTTATTTATTGAAAAACCCCTTATTGTAAGAAATCCGGTGATTGCTGATGAAGAACCATCTATCTTTATCGCCATTAACTGTCTCATCCTTATAATACAAAATTTCAGGGAAGAAAGGATTTATTTAGAATTTTATAACCTAACAGCGACTCCTCAACGAGCATTTATCATATTTACGGCTAAAGATGGAGGCACTATGTTGCGCAAAAAACATATGGAAGAAATGTATAAAATAGACCGACTACTCAACGGACCACTAAATATAACAGATGAAAATGGTCGAAGAATGTGTGAACCATTGTGTAATATAAATCTTCCTTTATATTTTTTTTGGGTTCGTTTTTTCTGTTAATTTTGATAATTTTATAATAATGTTGCTAATGAATAATAATGAAAATATGCAATACACCACTGTGCGTCTTTTTTTAATGCCACACACCATATTGCTCGTTTTATTCAATTGATCCATTGTTTACATTGGGAGAAATCTTTTCGCTAATTTGAAGATATAAAAGTACAGAAGAAGTAAATATAGAAGAAGTGCAGATGAGCACTAAACCTACGTTTTACCCGAAATCATTGACGCACAGTGGTGTATTGCATATTTTCATTATTATTCATTAGCAACATTATTTTTGTGGATCCTCAAACTTGAATAATTAAATCTTGAATATCTATGTAAAATGGCGAAAAAAATTAATTATGCCAAAATTAATTATCAGAGATTCCACTTTTAACATATATAGTTTTTTAAAAAATAGCTAGGGATGATGCACAAGCTATATCGTTCAGTAATTTATTCCAGTAATTAATAGTCCGAATAAAGAAATCATGAGTTCTTAGTTTAATTTTACATTGGTTTTAGCCCAGTTAGTTCTTGTTTGATTCAAATTTAACATGAAATTATAATATTTTGAACAATTTAGTTTGAACACAACCATACAGAATCTTATAAATAGAAATCTTGTTTAATACGACGAACTGAGAGAGAATCCAGGTTATATTGTAGAAATTTTCTTTTATAATTAAAATTGCAATTTTAAGAGAGGCGCTGTATAAAATATTTTTGGAGTCCTTCAATTATTTTACTTTTTACGATAACTTGTAGTATTGTAGTCAAGAAGTGGCCAAATGAACATTTATATATTTGTACATTTGTACAATTTAATAAGGAAACCTTCAGTTTTGTTCTTAAACGAACGAAAAATAAAATTTAATATTTGAGGATTTCTTTACCATGGTTCTGAAATGAAGGTCGAAATAGAAATTTTCAGCCATACTTATTCCAAAATTGGAAATATGAGATTACACTCATTATATTACCATTAAGATTAGAAAAATCGAAACCTTTAGAATCAATATGAAGAACGCTATACTTTTTGAAAGGAAAAGGTAATTTGCCTGTCAAATAGCCACTTGGCTATTCTGTTGAGGTCCTCCTGCAATGGAGATAGGCTATCTGTTCTACTATGAGAATAATAAATTTTACAATAATCAGCATAAAGATAAATGGTGGAATTTAGTACCACATTGTGATATCATTTATATATAATAGAAAAAGGGAACGCCAGATTTAACAGGTGTGTCAAAGAGAATGTTATTGACACATACAGCTTGATGACGATCTTTTATGTAATCTGACACTTACAAAAAGCCCCTGCAATACCATAACTATTAAGAGTAATCAAAAATTTGCTATGAGGAACAATATCAAAAACATTACCCAAATCTAGGTATCTTGAATGAATAACAATTGATATAAACATATCGTATTAGCCTCCCTGTTTATATCAAATTTACTCTCGATTTACCACTGAAGTGCTTTTTAAAAATTAGAACAGGCAGGTAAGTGTATTCTCATCAGTTAACAGCAAACCTCGTTGTTCATACCGATTGAAATTCAGATTCAGAAGCAATAAACTGCATGACTGGGCTGAATTACTTTTTAAATAATATCTGGAATGTCATAAGTTTTGCAGAAGTTGCAGTTTTGTTTTCCTTTGCTTCTTAACAGAGATTTTTGAAAATACGCGATAATTTGCGATTATCTAAGCAAACAGGACCAAAAGCATATGCTTAAGCTACTGTCTATAATCTTTATCATTAAGAATATTGTTAAGGGTGGTCAGATTTTGAGTAGTATCGTTAACAATACTGCTTAATTAATTTATTTATTAATTTATTTAAATATAAACCAAGCCATTATAAAGCCATCTGCTTGCCAGTTAGAACAGTGGATAGAATGAAAAAGATTGCAAATCTTTTTTTAAAATCTGGGAAAGCGGAGAACCAACGAGCCAAGAAAAACCTTATATTATAGTTAGTATTTCGAAAGAAAAGATTGTGAGAGAGAACATTGGCCCTATATTCTTTAAATAGGCTCACACAGCTTCAATCCATTTCCTCTAGCAATAAATTTTAAGACGCAATAGTAGGAATTTACAATGATATGGCCGAACAATATTAATCAGTTCTTATTCAATTCTTCCAGTTTTCAGCGAATCAAAATTATATAGCTTTGTCGAGGAGAAATTAGGACTTAAGCGCCATAGAAAATTTTTCTGTGAACTCTGCTAAATTAATTGATTTATTGAACCCAGGTGAGTAACACATACATTATTTTGTATTGTACTCTAAATATGGCCGGACGAAATGTTTTACGTATTTTAATAAGAAAATCTTTTGACCAATAAAAAAATTAAAAATTCAATTCAATAAAAATTAGATGAAAATTTTTTAAACATGAGAATTTTGAAGGATTTTTTAACAACTATAGATACCCACTGTTAATAGAACAAAATCTGAAAATCTATATACGCACGTTAATAATCTATCTATCATCTATATACGCAGTGTTATCAACAGAGATAACAGGGAGACCCTTTGACGTCATCGTTATGCAAAACTTAAGCGCTTTATGAGAGGATCTGTTTTACGTAGGTCGATCGAAATTGGGCGCATTGTTGGTTAATCCCTTTTCCCACTTGTTTTTTTTTACCATATTTCTTAAATGCATGGAGACGGAAGGGATTATCCTACACTTTGCGCTTATAGTTGCGTTATCCCTTACGATCAATATGCATACTTTGCCGTTTTGCACTCACTCGTCATGTAATTGTATTTCTGGATTTTGTAGACTAGATGAAAATTTTCTTCTCTTCAGAAAGAATTAAGTGCGCAAAGAATAAATCAGTCTGATAATGGTGATAATAGCGATGAAACAGAGTTTGATAATCAAACAATATTCGATTATCCTCTTTCAAAACTGTATGGCAATGAACTTTTTATGGGTTCAAATTTGTTTGGTGTTCAAAAATCGGGTTCGTATTTTATTTTAAAAATACAAAATGTTCGTTATTTATATATATTATATTAAATGTAAAATATTTTATATGTTAAAATATGTTAAAATATAAATGTTTGAATCTGCAGTTGAACTACTCGTGCTTAGATTACAAGTTCAAGAAGTTCAAGATTTGCAATTTTGCTGCTTCTTTCATTTTCGTGAATTTTCTCGTTTTGTAACAATATAAATATATATAAAGCGAAATAATATCTTTCATTTTGAGAGGAAATTAAACTCTCTTATAGATACGCTTTACAAGAATCATTCAAAAATCACCCACGTAGGTTCAATCGTACTGTGGTATTCGTTTAATGTGGATACACGAAAAAGGAAGGAACTTCTAAGGAAAGTCACCGTACAGTTATTTGAATTAAGTAAAATTGATGATACGACGACGTTTATTAAATTCAATATTTTTGGTGACGAGATTGCGAATAGTGAGATGATTCGAGGAGCATATGAGGTCATCAATTTTACCAATTTACTCGTCCTATATTTTACTATACATTGACTTGAATCTCATTTGTAAGTAATCTCACTGAATGATTCAAGTCATTAATGTAAATATTGCCCAATTTTACTTAATTTTAAATGACACATTTGCTCAAAAAATAATGACAACTAAATTTTAGATTCCCATACGCACTGATTCTGAACTCAATACTAAAATTTAAATTAATTGTTAATTGTTGTTTTAATCGAATTGTAATGAAAATGTCCACTGTTAAATTAAAATTTTTTTACATTCTTTATTTTATTTTTATTTCAGCACGTTTTAGCAATAATTAATACTAATTAATTTTTTTAGGCCACAAAATTAATGATAATTGGCTTTTTTTTATTGCTTGGTTTTGTTTTCTTCGTCGTATGGCACAAACTTCGTGCTAAGAAAGTACCAGTTGTTGTCCTTGCTGCTGTTTTATCACCATTCCTAGCTGCCACCGTATCTTTTGCTATTATTGCATGGATTCAGTTTCCGTTTTATTCCATCATGTGTGTCACACCATTCCTTATATTAGGAATAGGTAAGTCAGAATAAAAATCTTATTTTCTTGCATTAAACAACCATTATCTTCGAACTCAGTTGTTCAAAGTATCTCTCAAGTCTCTTCATTATTATTTCATAAGTGTTTTGAACTTAAGTGTTCAGAAAAAAATAAGAAAAAACTTTTAAAGATTCAATTTTTGATTGTCCATATTTATTTAAATTTTCTTTAAAAGTTATCTATTCTGAATTTATCACCAAATAGGGGTGGACGATGCTTTTATAATGTTACAATCGTGGTGTCTCTACAACACTGTTCCGTCGAAAAAAGATCGGCTTACTCGAGTTTTCATCGAAATTGGTCCATCAATAAGTATAACATCGATAACTAATATGGTTGCATTCGGAATTGGATATTTGACTCCGACACCTCAGGTTTTACTTTGCCATTTTGTCAATTATTGTAAATTTGAATCACTTAGGCGCTTTAAAATTATTTTTCCAATTTTTTCCAATTTTTGCTTGTTCCATTTCATCGAATTTTTATTGCAAAAGTTTGTGGATTGAATAATTTTTAGATGAGTTTATTCTGCTTGAGTACATCAATAGCTTGCTTTGTTGATTATATTTTAACTTTTACCTTATTCGCACCAGTTTTGTATATAAATTCTGGTGACGAGCAATGCTATATTCCTGCAAAAAAGTCCATCGATCAGGTTTTATTTTATTTCATTCTTAAGCTCCATGAAATTAATATCCAAAAAAGTTAAAGAATGGAAAATTATAAATGTAAAAAGCGCGTTAAGAAATATCAGAAATAGTGGTGGCTAGTTTATAGTATATTATCCTGTAATTTCTTTTCCGCATCCAAGGCAAAAAGAGCATCATTCATTATTTCTCATTTGTCAAGCTTATAGTACGCGATCTTTCCCGCTATATAATTCAGGGGATTTGAAGTACAACTGCAAGAAAAGAAAAGAAATTGAGCCCATGCTGTTTGCTAGAAGCGAAAGCAACGTCCCTCAACCATCGTTGTCCCTTTTATATAATTCGCAACATGTCAACTTTATTTATTTGTATGTGCATTTAAGGATTATTCTTCTCTATTCTGTCTGTAAACCTGAAGTTCAAATTAAATTATCTAGCGAATGTGCAAATTTGCAACATTGAAAAAATTATGATGAATTTTTATCGCATAAATTAGGGGAATTTTTTTTTTAGATGAATGATGATTTTATTCATTGGTATAGTAAATTTATTTGCTCATGGAAAGGAAAAATTTTAGCGCTATTATTTTTAATATTACTTTATTCATTATCCATATTTGGTGTAATGACGATGAAGTCGACCTTTGAACCAGCAAAAGCATTTCCATCCGATTCACCGCTCGCAAGTTCCTTAAATGGAGTCAAGTATATTATAATTTTTACGATTATTTGCTTGAAATTAACATTTTTACTTTTTTTTTATGGAAGCGAATTATTTAATTTGATGCGAATTTTGAGGATGAAGAAATAGATTTTACATTGCGGTAAATAATAATAAAACTTGAGTTAATAAATATTTAAAAAAATAAAAAGATTAGGTGAATAATAGCAAAGATTTTTCAGGTTAGCATTTAGTGAATTCAGCCCTTTACAAATAATTGTGAATAAAGCGCCTAACATATCGGATCAACAAGAAGTTTATTTTTTTTCTTTTTCCTCAAATTTCATGGATAATGGATAATCAATGAAATAATATAAGAACATAAAAAATGAAGAATATTAGAAAAAACCATTTCTGGTTGGACTAGCTATTAGTACGATTGGATATTTCTTGCTAGAGAACCACTTGGTGACAGAGTGAGTAGCCAGCACCACCATGATTTTTTTAATGACATGTTTGATCCTGTTATGACGGAGAATCGGCCTATGAATCGGCTTAACGCAAATCCAAGCAACCATAAGCGCCTAACATACTCAACCAACTCTGCCCTAATGAGTACAAAGTATTTAAAAAAACTTCGCTTGGCGAAAAAATTTTGAATGAAGGAACCAATTTATAATTTCAGTATAGTGCTTTCTATGAAATGGTAACATCGCTAGAATCCGTGCCAAACAGTTACGGTCGTCAATGGACTCTTCTTTTTCTAAAAGCATATGAAATGTTCGATCAAAAAATATTCTCATTTTTGCATGCCTTTGGATTTTCAGGACAAAATCATTACATCCCTTCATATGATAATCTTGGATACTTTTTAAGACAAATCCGAAATCCACCAATGATCAAAACCAAACAAAATGAAAAGTAAATTTTGTATTTTCTTATTTAAATGATTAAATGAAATGAAATGATAAATGAAATGAATGTTAAAATTAAGTAAAATTAATAGTAGTTTTTTTATTATTTTTAAAATATAATATATAAAATTAGCAAAATTAGCGCTCACCATTTCTGATCAAGCTGGACCCGGCTTTCAATATTTGGTGCGAATGGTTCAGTGGCAAGAAAATTGTCGCTGAGAATCGAGATTTGGAAGTTCGAATCTGCTTGACTCACCATTTCTCGTCTAACGGAGAAAGCAAAGGGGAATAGAGCTCGATGGGTTGTTGCTTAATTCAGAGAGTCGATGCTGAAATTCTAGTTCTCGCAGGAGTAATCCTGTACAAAAATCCGGATAATGTTGGCGATTCATCTATACTTATATCACTAAGGATCGACAAGCCAGCAGGACGAGTCAACAATGGTGGGTAATTAAAAAAGCGACAAGTAATTTTTTTCGTGGGGGCTAAAAGCGTTGTTCAGTTTGCAGCTTGTTGATAATAGATTTCCTGACTTCTATTAGAAATACGATCAGAACCTAAATTCGAGATGGTCATATGAGCCATTTCGCTTTACTGCAAAAATTATCGCTTTTCAACATCTAGAAAAATTAAAATCCTGAGAATTCGATGTGTGCGTTGCATTATTACCACTTCCAATGGTTTTGGGCATTATGTTAGGAAGGATAAGGCTTGTAATATCAAAACAAACTACTGAAATATTAGAGAAATATGAAGGTTGTTATTACGGTATGTCGAGGCGGAGATCACTCGATCTTTTTTCTCCACCCGTTGTATATGGCCATTGGCCATTATGCTATACAGTAAATATAGGCTGACAAGATGGACTGTAGTATAACCGTATAAAAAAATGTGAAGATTTAAAACTATGAAGGAATTTTGGATAAATGTTATATTTCGTTCCGTTCCGTTATATTTCCAAAAAAACAGATGGATAATGCCTTTGTGGCCAAGGAAAATTTGTTGAATTTCAGCGGCATCGAAGTTCTCTCGTCGTTTATAATGACCATAGTTGCACATAACCTTACTGAATGGGCGAATCGAGCGATTTATGTTGATCAATGCCGCTCAATTGTTAACAATTATCCGCAATTCAACTCAAGTATACGCGATGGCGATGCAGCTATTCTGGATTTGATTTTAACAGTTAAGATGGATCTAGTTGGATCAATTGCAGTGACCGTATTTTGTATGGCTATTGTTTGCATATTTTTCATCGTTGACAAGATTGGAGTCTTTGTCGTAACATTGATTATTTCATCTATTTGTTTCAGTTAGTTTATAATTTCATTTAATGACCATTTTAAATAAGGAACTGTTTGACCGAGGCCAATATAGGTACCTTCGCTTGGCAGGACGAGCCAGCAAACCCCCGATGAAAAGCGCTAGATGTCCATAGTCTATGTCCATCTGTATTTCGATCGCCACTCGTCTGAGTTGGCGAAACCATTCAGACCAGAAGCAGCACACATTTTTCGAAGATGAACTGCTTTAATCCTTTTTCATTTCTAATTCCCATTTAACTATAATGTCTATCGTTGCCATTGAACATTTAACCTTTTATTTAAATGGCTACACCCATTGGAACTCAACATTTCACCTTAAGATATTCTTATAGCATTGGTTGGATCGTTATCATGGTGGGGAGCTGATATGGATCCTGTTACTATGGTCGATGTACTGATTGCGACAGGATTTAGCGTCGACTATACAGCGCACATCGCTTTCAAGTTCTATAAAGTTGAAGGTTCGAATCATCAACGTATTAAACAAGCTCTACAAGAAATGAGCGGGCCAATGCTACAGGTTTCCAAATTTTTCCTTCCCCCCTTTGCAGAAACGAATTTTAACTGAACATATTTTTTGTTTTTATTTATTGATAGCTCTAATTAATTAACTAATTAATTAACTAATCAACTAACTAATTAATTAATTAGTTACTTCAGGTTTCATTTAGAAATTTGTAAAATAAATTAATAAAATGTATTTTGCAGGCGGGTATATCCACAGTTCTATGTATGCTTCCACTGATATTCGTCCCAACCTATGCCATCCTTGCATTTGCAAAAACTGTATTCCTGGTTGTTGCTCTTGGTCTCATTCACGGAATATTTATATTACCGGTGCTTTTAACCACATTATCTTATCGGCGCCAGCTATGACTCGTAAATAAATGAAAGGATTAAGGATTATCTTTTTTTCGTATTACCTTTCTTATTATTATTATTATGTAATTGTGCGATAACAATAACAATTTTCAAAGAAATAAAAAATAAAATACGAATGAAGATCTACATGAAATATACCAGTATATTCATGAAAAATAATGGATATGCACTATTGGCTGCTTATCTAAATATTGTAGCTGGACACTTGAGTATCTTCACATTAAGTGAACAAACCAAAGAAATATGGAAATTACAAAAACTGTGAAGAGGAAATGATAATCTTTAGCAAATAAATTATATTAGCATCGTTCAAATACTTTATAAAGATCGTGTAAATCGGCAATACGTCTCACAGAAGCTGACAAACTTTGGGGAGGCAAAAAATTCTCTTTTAAGGCTGGGAAAGCAATATCACTCAACATTCTCTTCCAAGAGATAGGTGCTTCGCTATCTTCATCACAGAATTCCGATTTAAGACGAAAAAATTCTGCTACTGATCGGCAAATGCCATCAAAACATGACTCTTCCTAAAGAAAAATATAAAGAAACAAGCTCATGAACATAATTATAAATATTAATTACACATACAAATATTCAGAGCAATTAACTTCAAATTAAGAGTTTAAAGAAACCTCATTCCAATCTACAGCTTCAACAAGCGAGAGAATAAATTTCGGAAGTGATTCAAGTTGAGGCATATAACCATTGACAAGTGATGGTATGGTTTCTATTGCTCCTTCCTCCGATATTTGTAGACAAAAATATTCGTTTAACATCTCCCGATTCTCGATTAAAAATTTTACATTTATCTCCATTCTTTCATTAGATAATTTTTCGTCAGCAAGTTGAAGAAGCTCTGAGATAGATGCACTTTCGGACAACCTGTATGAACCAAGATTGCCGAATGATAAGATGAGGACCTATAAAAACAATCAAAATAAATGTTGGGAAAAATAAAATATGGGTTTGATACCTTTTCAATCGATGGTAATCGAATGCCCATTCCGCTTTGATTGAGTGGAAACAGGTAAATGACCGTATGATAAATGCCCGTTTTAAGGGTAAATTCTGCCTATGCTCCAACTCTGTCGGCAGATGACCGGGATAAAGATAAGTTCTATACGGAACTTCAATTGCTAAGAAAGCCTTTACCGAAATATGACATGGTCATAATCGGGGAAGACTGGAATGCTCGCGTAGGTCATAATGTCCTTGTGATGACCTCGACGATTGGCAAATATGGTATCGGCACTGGTGCGCCATTGGGGAACGTCTTTTTTGATATCCCGAACAGCATGAACTTTTTGTTACTAATACTTGTTCCACTTTGGAAGAGTTCCGTACTAGATAGTCGTTCCTATCGCAGCGCTGAAAAAGGCAATCTTCATAGATCTGACAATGTTATGGTTTGAGCCAAGATCCGCATAAAATTGACAAGTCGCAGAAAATAGCATCCTTCAATTATCTCAAACTAAAGAATTCGGGGACAGTAAGCGCATTTCAAACCGAATTATTGAAGCATCTCAGTGGTACAAATATCAATGATTTTTCTGGAACGGCAAATAAATATTGGTGCAAACTAAAGCAATGTCTCCGAAAATCAGCCACTTCCACACTATGGCATACTAGTAGGAAGTGCGCTAGTTGGGTATCGGAAGCAACTGTCCAATTGTCTGAAAAGGCTACCAAAACACGAATGTCAGGTGATCCTGACTACAGGATGTTTCAAAGATTTGCAACGAAAGTAGCAAAGCTGGACAGAAATCACTATTGGAGTAATATGGCCTTGAAAACGGAGACGGCGGCTTGATTAGGCGATAATAGAAAATTATTCGCCTTCTTCATAAAGTAACTATGACTCGGAGAATGATCAGTGAAATGGTAAGGGACAGCAATGGTGTGCCGGTGAAGAGTATTAAGGACCGCTTCATAAGATGGAAAGAATCCTTTGAGGCTAAAAATAACCATGAAGTGCCATCTGTTGCCCCTGATATAGCTTATACGTTCGTCGAATCATATATATTTGCAATTGCCAGCCTCCAATAGAAGAAATAATCTCCATTATTCATAAGTTTAAGGCCAATAAGGCTTCGGGAGAAGACGGTCTTCGGGCTGAAATCTTCAAATACTGCCCATCGTCCTTCATAACGCACCTTTAACAAATGTATTCTATGGCATGGAAAAAAAAGAAATATTACCAGATAATTGGAGTAAAGAATTCTGTTCCCAATTTTCAAGAAAGGTGACAGGACATACTACGACAATTATCGAGAAATCAGCCTCTTAGCGAAAATTTTTGCTTTTCTGCTATTCAACAGACTTCTGGAAGTACGAGACAGGAGGATGCGCCCTAATCAAGCTGGTTTCAGACCAGGGAGAGCGGTTGCGCTGACCAGATATTTACGTTAAGAAGGACATTGAAACATCGCTTCAAATATTTACCGTGTTTTATCGACTTTTGCTGTTGTCTTTGATACAACTAATGGAGCTTTGGATGGTGATGGAACGCGACGGTGTTCCAGAGAAAATCATTCGACTCATAAAGGCATTTTATGAGTGCACGTGGGAATAGGTCTGTGTATATGGGGAGCTGACAGACTATTTCGAAATAAGAAAAGAATTGGTGTCCATCAGGGTGTTAGGGACCTGCGTCCTTTCCCCTACAATATTCAACTATGCGATAGACTAGATAATGACTTGTCGGCATTCAAAAGGTGTCTAAATCAGTCCAGAGAATCGCATCATAATTTTAAATACGTTGATGATGTAGTCCTTTTTGCTGAGTTATGAAATGCAAATAATGCTAAATAATGTGCCAGCAACTGCAGGAGAATTGGACTCAAAATCAATGTAAATAAAACGAAAGCCTTTTCGTTTTATGTGCAAGAAGCTGATATTAATTGCTGGTTGAGGAAGTGCCCGATTTCAAATACCCTGGGTCCATTCTAATACCAAATGGACAGGCAAAAGATGGTCGGATCACGGTACCTTCCTTACGTCCTGCCGGTTGACGAAATCTTTATGGAGTCATCATGAAATCACCATAAAAACGAAAGTCGTATCTATATAGCCGTTTTTGCTATTTGGTTCCGAGACATGGCCAATGAGAGCAAAGTTATCTGCCTTTGACCACTCTTGTCTAAGGTACATATTACGGATCCGTCGAGCCAATAAGATATCATATGATCGCATCCACCTATATTCAAATACCACTTGCCTTAATAATGTTATCCCAGATCGCCGCCTTCACTGGTTAGGACATGTTCTTCGTCATTCACCACAGGAGTTGACGCATATTTCGTTACTTGCTAAACCGTGTGATGGTTGGCGCCAAAAGCGAGGTGGATCAATCAATACGTGGACTCATATGGTCAAAAAAGATTTTGAACGTATAGATGGACCAGCAATATATGGACTTAGACGATGGGAAAAAGAATGGCTTCTATTACTGTCAACAATAGCATTAGAATGCGCCGCTAGGAAGCATCCCTTGTAGCCGTTGGATACAGCCTAACCAATAATGGTGAGAGAGTTGTTAGAAAAAGAAGAATCGACGATGGTTCTTGAAGGATTCTCCACTTTTATAAAAAATTTGTCATTAAAAATGCAATCCATATATCTAATCCTCTAGCCCCAATGTTAAATAGTACAGCAAAAGCAAAAGCCAAATTTTATTCTAAACCTTAAAAAATCGGCAAAGGATGAAAAATTCAACCTGGTAAAAGTATTGCTTTAAGCATTCTGATGCATCAATCAAATAAATAGAGGTACCACTTTGAATCAAAACATTATCTGGATCAACAGCACCAATGTATATATGTTCTTTAAAAATTGTGCGCAATGAAACTGATGCTGCTTCGCAAAGTTTTTTTCTCAATAATCGCAAAGAATCAAAATTATAATGGCGAAAGCTGGATAGACTACTGGAATTATCCAATTTATCATTTAAAGTGTTGAAGTAAAATTTTAAAAAAGAATTTTAAAGCAAAAAGCACCAGAATTTAAAAAATTAGAATCACTTTTCAAGAATCACTGAACTAATATGATTCAGAAGTATTTCTTAATTAATAGCTAATTTTAAACGAACCTTGAAAATGAAGTAGACTCTTCGCATAATACGTCAACTGTTTTTATTTGAGATAATGCCTGACTTTCATAAACGGCAGAAAATTCATCCAAACGACGTTCTTTAACATCAGTGCGAACAAGCTAAACTCTTAATTGATTAGCTCTTAATTTTCATTTATTGAAAAAGAACTAGTAAAAATTTTCGAGATTTTTAAATTTGACAAAAAAAATTTTACTTTATGAGCATAAACTTTATCTCTACTGGCAGTAGATTTGATTGCATTCGAACCAAGACCACCAAGAGATTCCGAAACTTTGATGACGAATTTTTTTTTTGAGGATGGAGTATTCTCACAAATCGTAGGATCATTAGAACTTGCTGCAATGGCCTGATCACTCTTCACACATATTTTTGAATACGGCCCACAGTGCTCGAAAGTACTGATTAAGAGCTCTTCGATATACTGAAAAAAATAAAAGACCATTTGGCAAAATTTCGCATAAATTGAAATAAATTGAGAATGAAATATACTAAAATAAAATTTATTTTCTTTTTTCATAATAGCACTAATCATTCCTGATTAGGTTTACTCTGACGGCTTACAGGACCAGATAAACTTTGCCAGGCAGTTTCTTGACGACAGAAGTATAAGTGAGTATTCTTTTCCAGTAATAACCCAGCATCGGCACTTCGAAATGAGAGCAACAACCCATCGAGCCATTCTAGCCCAAATATTTATAAGAATATAAATAATATATAAAAATTATAAAAATGAGAAATCTAAATAAAAAATAAAAAATTCTGTTCTTACCTCTTGAATCGAAGATACGATTGCATCTTGTTCTAAGAAATAAACTACCGATTTCGTTGGATGTACGTTAACATCAACACGATTCGAATTAATCTACAACAAAAAAATCAGTTAAATCAGTTATGGTTTAATTGCTTCGAAATTTCAAAAAGAAATATGTACAAATCTTTTGAAATTAAAAAGCAAAAAAGACAGAAACTAAAAATTCAAATGGAAGTTTTTTTCAGCGGCGAAAAAAATATAAGCAGCATAATTTGGATTCTTCTCCCTTGACAGTAACAATAAACCTGTCATCACACAGGTTACACAGATTAAGGAAACACAGATAGAGGTTGCATCTAATGGAAAAATGCAACCAACCTGAACCAACCAAAGCAGAAATAATGCATTCTTTTAAAATATGCAAAAAAATTATTAAAAAAATATTTAAAAATGCCTCTCGAAAATTTCGGTCAAAACTGGTTAAAAAAATTTTACTTGCAAAGATAACATTAAAAACGATGAAACAGAATTTCGTGTTGCAAAAGCAATGTCAAGAGCTTTTTTCAGCGGTAAACAATCAACATTTCTGCCATTTATAAACAAGTAGAAAATTTTTTGGCGATTCTAAAAAATAATTTCAAAAATATTAGAAATTATAGCTGAAAAATTCAATTGAAATAAGATGAAGAAAGTCAACAAAACGAAAACTTTCAGAAATATATTTCGATAAGTGGTCAAAGAAATCGTTATTTCTGTGGTGATTCTTTCCATTGTGACAAATTTAAATGCCTTAGCGAGAATTATTAAAATTATAATAAAATTACTTGTCTTTCCTGAAGATTTTGTGCTGTACATGAAGCATTAGGACGTGACATATAACCCTTTAATGAGAAACAGAGATCATCCTTCTTGTGATTTAAAATGATAAGATCCTGAATATAAAACAAATACTCGCCAAAAAACAAGGATATAATATAATATAAAGAGGTAGAAAAAATAAAATGATGAACTTTTGCAAGTTTTGTTCCAAGAAGACTAATAATTGTATTAGTTATATTACCGTCACCAGCAGTTCGAAAATCACTTCCGCTTCCACTACGATTAAACGTAAACGACACATTCCTGAAATAAAATGGCAAACAATCTTGAAAATTCAATTTTTTGATAATATTTACTACAATTTTTTTAAAGAACATTCACATTAATTAGTTTGACTCGTTCGTCGAACTAGATAAATATGCCAAAGAATCTCTTAGCGATAGAACTACAGAACAGTTATTATTAATATTCAAAAAATAAATCGAAGATTTAAAGATTGATTTAGATCTAACTTATTCTTATAACATTTTCCAAAATTCCTTGAAAATAATTTCACCTGATGATTCCAAAAATAAATTGATGATGCCAAGAATACTCTTGAAATTGCAAATTAAGAATATAAACTTTACGCTATTTTAATTTGAGGTTTTTTTGAAATATATTGAAATATTTTTATTTATGAAAAATTGCTTACGAATTATGGATGGCATATCTGATAATTACATCGGCAATTCGATTCATTTCATCCGCTGGATATTTTAATGCACGACGCCGAGATGGACAATTATAAAAAAGTTCTTTTGCGGTTACAATCGTCCCATTAAGACCAGCGGACGGACGAATATCACCATCTAAACGGCCATCTAAACTAATTTAAATAAATTTAAAACTAAAAATTTCAGCGAAATATCTCATCGGAAAAGATATAATGAAGGCATCAAGAAATTATATGAAAATTATATAATTAAATAAAAAACATATTTTAATGGGATCCACAAGCGATTCAGCATTTTATGGTGTAAGAAGATGGAAAAAATAAAGCTCTTTTAATATCAGATATTACACTAGATACAACTGGTTTGAGGAAGAAAGGGCCGAGGCCAAAGTTTTTAAGATGGCTCCGGACCGAAATTTCGCAATTTCAGAGCACACTGGCCTTATACACGCAGAAATAAAATTTTATAACGTAACAAAAATAAAAATAATAAAAAACAAATAAGGAGCACCTATATAATTAGCAGCGAATGCACAAGAGGATGAAGAAATTTTCGAGATAATCGAAACTTTAGCAACTTGGCTTAATGATGCTAATGCTTCGCCACGAAATCCAAACGTCTGCATCATTTCGAGATCTTCGATTTTTTGCAATTTCGAAGTAGCAAAACGTTCACAGGCCAAATGCATGTCGTCTTTTGCGATACCTTTACCATTATCCTTTAATTTTTTCAAAAATAAAAATTTCGCAAAGAAAATTTCGCATAATTTACGAATTTTTGGTCAACCCTTGGGTAATATTATGTCAATGAATTGCTGAAAGATCCTTAAATTAAAAATAAGAATAAGAAAGAAACAAGATGTACCTGAACTTTGATGAGGTCAAGACCTCCATTAACGGCTGTGACAACTATTTCGTCGGCATCAGCATCAAGTGAATTTTCGATAAGTTCTTTTACAGCATTTGCAGCGCGAATTATTACTTCACCGGCTGCGATACGACTTACAACGTCTTCAGTTAGTCGATTTATCATTCCCACCTAAAATTAAAATTATTTGCTGTTACTATCTTATACATAGATTTTTATTCCAACAATCGTTGTTCAAGCCAAATGGTTGTAAACCTGTGAAGAGTAAACTTATCTTTAAAGAACCTGTTTATTTACTTAAAGAAATCCAGGTGGTACCACCAGCTCTACTTAAAATGACTCTTTGGCTTGTACTCTCTTAGCCTATTAACTACCAGTTTAACGAGAAATGTTCATCGATTAATCAATTATTGACTAATTATTAAACAAATTTTTGAGAGAAAAAAGGAGAAGGAGAAAAAGGAGAAAAAGTTACAAAAAATTCGAAAAATTTCGGAAGAAAATTTGAAAAATTAAAAATTTTAAAATAGATTTACGAACCATTGAAAAAAATAAATTAATAAGACTCGTAAAAATTAAACAAAACTCACTGGTAAGCAAACAAAAAAGTGTTTGTTCCGACAGCCCCAATCGAAGACACTAATAATAATTGCCTTCGCGTAAATCGAGAACACCTCACCTGGCTGAACTACTTGCAGACCACCATCTAGAAAGAGAACCTACTTCATCCGTTAGAAAGCACCGAAATGGACGCTTTCTGATATCCTCAAGTCTCCTAAAATCACGTACTATTTTCTTTGAGAGTTTTCAAACAAGTACAGTGCTAAAAGTCAGTAAGGAGTAAGGGAACGTCCGAGCTCCTTCGGGTCATTGCAGCTAACTGGTTATCAGGATCATTGATATTATTCGGAAAATCAAGTGATTCGGAGTGTTCTTGTCTGATTTTTGTGCACCTATTCATTATCAATCATTATCAATAAAAGTTATCAACATCGTAATTCTTAAATTGATGGAAATTCAGTGAAGATCAAATGTCAAGCTAAAAGGTCAGGCCGAAAGGTCAGCTCGAAAGGTCAATCCGAAAGGTCAAACCAAAAGGTTGAATCTGTACGCCTCGGAAATTTTACTTGTAATTTAAGCTAAAAAATTAACAAAACTTTATTTTAAAGGAATGTTTCTTAAAAATTTTCAAATTTGTCACAGATTGTGCATGGAAATGGAACCAATTTCAACCGGTTTTCGTAGTAAAAAATTGAAATGGAAAGATTCGTTTTACCTTATCGCCGTTATATAAATAAGTTAATTTTGCAAACAATTCTCATTGGTGACTTTCACTTTTCAAGTATTTTGTTCATTCGTTTCGAAATTGCTATTTCGTGGCATATTTCGTGTTAAATAAACAAATTATTGGTCTGTAGGGATTTCTGAGGCTCCGAGTTGCTGAAAGGGAACTGCGGGGCGCAGCTGGAGAGCCGCCGCGGTCCCACCTCGGCGGCAGAGACCCATCTCTTCGCGAAAGGGCGAGCGAGCGGGCGGACGAGTGTCCAACGCGAAATCGGCTCGAAAGAAAAAACTATGCGATAATGATGATGTTTTAATTCCGTAAGTTAAGAACTGATTGTAAAAAATTTGAGAGATGGAAAGCGAAAATCGCGAGAAAGTTTATACATTTGTAACGTATACAGCTGCGACGTTTTCGCTTATCGCTATTTTGGCAATTTTTATTACTTTACCGATGGTAAATAATTACATAAACAATGTTAATGCAAGAGCCCAGCAAGAAATTGAATTCTGCCAAGTGAATCTCATTAATTTTTAATTTTTCGTTAAATATAAGTACGAAATACAAATATTTGATGAGAAATCGCAGCAAAATCGAACAGTTAATGATATAGGAAATATCAGTTCAGACGTACTAGTAGCCAACAGCCAACAGCCACAGCCAACAGCCATAGCCAATAGCCAACAGCCAATAGCTAACAGCCATAGCCAATAGCCAACAGCCAACAGCCACAGCCAACAGCCATAGCCAATAGCCATAGCCGATATCCAACAGCCACTGAGCCAGCTCAATGAGAAATAAAGAAAGTTGTTAAAAATTAAAAATAATTATGATAATTAAAACAATTAAGAATAATAATTAAATAATTAAAAATCGAACAAATCAACAAATCGAAACGTTTTATTCTTAACTTCAGAATTCGGCGCGCGACATTATGATGGAAGTTCAAGAGTACCGAGCATCATCACCTCAGCAGCGAGCCTTCGAACCCCTCTCTAGCATTGCTGCAAATTATTCTCGTATCAAAAGGCAAGCATCCTGTGAAGGTATACATCCTCGGATTATTCCGAATATCTTCGGAAATAACATTTTGATTCCAATATATGGAAATGGATTTCACAAGAATTATCTATTTATTTTTAAAATCTATCGAAAACTGCAATAAAAAATTGCATTTTATAGGATGTTGCCTACCCGGATTACCAGGACCTGATGGACCGCCTGGGAAGAATGGCGTCCCCGGAAGACCTGGTCCACAAGGAGCTCCAGGCTTTCCTGGAAGACCACCACGGCAAGATTTCAAAAAAAAATAAGCCAAAAGACATAGCATCTTATTAAGAATGCAAACTAAATAACTAAAGATTTTTAGGATATGCGAAGAACCAACTCCACCGCCTTGTAAACCTTGTCCTCCTGGACAACCCGGAGCTCCTGGACCACCTGGCGATCAAGGTATATTTCTTATACTAATATTTAATAAAAATTATAGTGTTTTTAAATTTATTTCTATAGTTTGCATTAAAAAATTTATATATTGCTTACTGTTTAATCCATAAAAATTTTGATCAAAAATCTCCTGAAAGCGTTTTTCAAGGTTTTTAATCCCTTCTATTTTTGTTTCTTATTCCAAACGTCGACGATAAATCTTGTTTTTTGGCTTTTAAGGATGTTTATTGAATGCTACCGAGATTAATTGTTATAAAGAATATGAAAAAGAATTTCCTTGAATTCATCAATAATCAAATAAACCAGAAATCTTGTTTCATTCAAAACCAAAATGATTTCTAGCGATCGTTACGGTGAAGCGGTTACACGACCGGAACGCTTCATCGTCAACGAATCTCTTATATTCTTTATATTCTTTATTCCAATATTCTTTAAACAATTTTGCAGGGCCACCAGGTCCGATGGGCCAACTAGGTCGACCAGGCAACCAAGGACTTCCAGGAACGCCGGGCCCACCTGGACCCCCAGGACCGCCAGGGCAGCCTGGTCATGATGGTCCCATTGGTGAAGCCGGAAAACCAGCTCCAAACACGCCCCCAACGCCTGGAGACCCTGGACCACCTGGACAAGACGTATGGTTTTCTTTTTTATGCATAATTAATCACTATGAAAAATTAAAATTAACCTTTTACAGGGTGGAATTGGAGAACCCGGAGACATAGGGCCGCCTGGACCACCTGGCCAGCCAGGTAGACCAGGGGAGCGGGGACCACCTGGTCCACCCGGACACCCTGGATCGCCTGGAGAAATGGGTCCACCTGGCCAGCAAGGACAACCAGGACCAAGTGGTGAACCAGGAATTTGTCCAAAATATTGTGCTCTCGATGGTGGCGTATTCTTTGAGGATGGTACTCGCCGATAAAGCTTCGTGTAATAATTTATTCATGAAAAAATTATTGTCAAATTCATTTACTGGGAAAATTTTTACCGACATTACATCAAAATTTTATTCTTTTAAATAAATTTTATTGTTTTAGATAAAATGAATTCGTTGAATATGAAGATTCGATTCGGTTCGCAAACATAGAAATAAACCAAAATATTTTTTAACTCATTAAAATACTTGAAAAAATAAAAATCCTTTTTTCAACGTCAATCACACGAAAAAAGAGCGTACATGCACGAATCCATGACCTACGAAGATTTAACCAGCGTAAATCCACGACCTAAGAACATGAAGAGGAAATTAAAAGATCTAACAACAAATGGCGTAGCAATTCCCCTACCAGCAACTGCCTTTGAATTGAATTCAAATTCTGGACTATCTTAAACCTTTTAAAAAATATCACAAAAAACTACAACGACGGCCTTTTTTCTCGCCCCTTAAGACATAGTGGCGCTAAATTTATTTTATTTATAAAATTATTTAAAACTACAAATTAAACGAAAAAAACATTCGTTTTTAAACACTTTATTCATAATAATTTTTCATAACTTTTTTGAAAATTCGAAAAAGAAAAAAACTGAAAATAACTAAAAAACAAACTATTGGAAGATAAGGAATTTCAACATCGACGCTGAAGTCAACACACTGACCTTTCGACATCGACATTGACCTTCTTCATTTCTATCATATATCCATAATCACACGTAGATAAATTATATATTGAAAGAACATCAGATTGCAGATTCACAAAACAGGTCTTCAACAAGAAATAAAGCTGATTTCTTCCATCCTAAAGCTGAGAGTTAATCAATCTGAATAATTTTATCGTTAATTCGCAAAAACCGAAAAATGGCAGAAGTTGCTATTGAGGATGGTGGAATCAGTGGGTGCAACATGAAAGAAAACGGGAATTCCAGATCTCGGTATATGCACTTTTTGGAAACCTGTGCTTTGACCCCATACCCTATTTATTTCCACTAAATATTCGAAGAAATTAGCCTCGCAAGGCCTTAAAAGCGACAACCGCAGGCAACTTTTCCGGACGGTCCTGGCACCGTAATAAGCGACCAAACTCTCTCCACCCAAACTGCCCATCCACATCAATTACTGTCTTTCTAATAATCATGAAGGAAATATTTTTGGCGAAAGAACGAAACGCCATGGCGAATTTTCGATGGAAAATTTATTTAATGGAAACAAAAAACCTCAATTCAAAAACTCGCAACATCAATTAACAAAAACAAATATTTCGTTGTGAATTTGGATCAAATTTTACAGAAAACCGGTCATCGAATTTCTTCACAAAACTTTTTACCGATTCACGAAATGAAATTAGTAAAAAATATTAAGAAATAAGTTCTGTTGCAATTTTATTGGATTAAAATAAATATAAAAAATCACTTAATGCATACGATCCATTTATGATTCGATTAATGCCTTCGGCGAACCAGTCCACGGTTTTATTCAACTTCTAGAGAACAATAATAACAGCGATGAATATATAGCCGCACAATACGCCCAGCAGCGCCCAATTCGAGGTACACGCCACTGGTAAGCTGCGCCCCCATACTCACCAATTCCACTTCATCTCGCCTATTTAATTCATCGACGACGTTCACCACCGACAACGCGATCCGGCAAATTGCATTCGAAATGCGAATCGAGCTGGACCATCGAGAAAATGCCTACCGCCTGGTGACGTTTTCAGCGGTTATTTTCGCATTTCTAGCAATACTCGCTGTCTTTATAACACTGCCGATGGTCAACAATTACGTTAATTCTATTCATATGCGAATACAAAATGAAATGGAATTTTGCAAGGTAATATCATAAATGACTTTTTTATTGCAAATAAATATCTCTTTCTATTGGCAAAAATTTGCAATATTCGAGTAGAATTTATCACAAAACTGTGCACTAGCAAATCACAAATATGGAATTTGCGAAAAAAGGCTACCACAAGTAGAAATCGATATCTCTTCGGGAAACCTTCTTTACTGAATGCTCCACCGAATCAGTTCCATATCCCACATGGGCAATTATGGGCAATGGTCGAAGAATACCTGAAATAGCCTTTGCTTGAAACAAATCTTCCCATCAATACACTACCCACCCAGCATACCCCGTTCTTTGCATTCAAAAAAATTTACACAAAAAATCAAAAAATTTAAACGAAAAATTCTAATGCAATATTATACTTAATGATATTACTGAACGAAATGAAATGAATTAGAGTTATAAGACTATGTTTCCACGCAAAAGTATTGGCAAAATAAAATTAATCTAAGCATTAACTGTAAAATTTTGATGACTAACTCTTAGGACCAAGCTTATGTGCCCGTTGCAAAAGCACGAAGCAAGTGGAGAGTGACTCAAATTATCGTACTGAGAGGCTAGAGGAGACGATAGGAGTTAAGAGGAGCTGTCATTAAAAATCCAGGTAATGTGGTGCTGGCGACCCATCTGCATTTCTGTCGACACTTTCTATCATTCCAAGGCAAAAAAATCTGATAAATTAATTAACTAAAGACTAGCGAAATTAGGCGAAATTAGTATAGCCAAAGATAGGCAGCACCAATCATCTATTTACTCCTACTTATATATCTGCTGTAGTTCTTAACAGAAAAACCAATAAATCTCGACCTCTTCCACAATTTAGACCGACGCAGATTTAAGAAGGTATTATTTCAGTTTTACTTCTATCAAAATTTAACGGCGATTCCGCTCAGTTAAATGTAATTCAAGGAAAAAATAAAAAGGGGGCGTTATTTACAATAGATGTGTTAATTTTTGAAAAGCAAAAATGAACAGATGATTATTGCCAAATATAACAGATCTATCAGATTTAATAAAAACTTTTAGCTGTCTGCTCGTGATGTTATGATGGAAATGAATGAATACAAATCATCTCCTCAAAGTATCCATGCATTTGACCAGTTTTTATCGAAGAATATCACCAAAGAACGCCTTAAAAGAGCAATAGGTCAATGTGAAGGTCGGACCTTTAATATTGTGCATAAATGCTATAGAATTATAGAATTATAGAATTATAGAATTATAGAATTATAGAATTATAGAATTTACCAAAATTATAGAATTATAGAATTTGCCAAAATTATAGAATTTACAGCCTTCAGGAATCACCACTAACATAATCCCTTTTTATTCTAAAAGCACTCATCATTTCCCGTTTGGGTCCACTGAGACGTTTGGAAGCTTTTTCGCTAATGAGTCAAATCGCTAAAAGATATTGGTAAAAAATATAAAGATAATTCGCTAAAACTGAGGGTTATCCGAATTTCGCTTAAATGTTAGGCTTATTGTCACGACAAAGGAACTAAATCTGTGATGTTTTATCTTAATAGATAGTACTTGAGAAATTTTTTCGAATATAAATTATTTTTAGGTTGTTGTCTGCCAGGACTACCGGGACAAGATGGCCCTCCTGGTAAAAACGGAATTCCTGGTCGTCCGGGCGTCCCAGGCGCACAAGGATTCCCAGGCAGGCCACCAGCGTAAGCTTTTTAAAAAATTCTCTATCGGTACATCCATAATAAGCGCATCATCGTAAAAATAGCAAAAATAATGGAGTCTTATGCAACAAAATACGGTAAATGGATAAGTGTGGAAAATAACGGAGGAATTTAAATGAAAGACATCGTGAATGATCGACTGAAGACTGATGTACGACATTATTTGAGAATATTGGTAAATACTAGTGAAAATTACTTATATTATTCTATTGATATTATTTCTTTCACATACGAACATTTTAGTTAAGAATCAAGAAAGTGTAGAAACAAAAAGATAAAACCAAAAAATTTTAGTTTCGAAGGTATAAAATTCAATAAAATTACGATAAAGTATCAATAAAATTACGATAAAATTTATAAGATTTTGCGCCATTTGTAGAATCTGCGAGAAAATAACGGAACCACCATGCACACCATGCCCCCCTGGAGAACCAGGACCACAAGGGCCACCTGGAGATGCAGGTTATATTTAACAATATTTAACAATATAAATTTAACAATAAAGTTTAACTAAGATTGTTCATAAACAAATAATACTTAAATAATAATATTATTACCACACTGATTTGCAGGCAATGCCGGTCCACCAGGCCATCCAGGTCGAAATGGAAATGATGGTTCCCCTGGTCCACAAGGTCCACCTGGTCCACCTGGACCTCCGGGCGAGAAAGGAAGAGATGGTCCTCGCGGTGACCCGGGACGACCAGCTATGTCGACAGCACCCATCCCTGGGGATCCTGGTACACCTGGAGAACAGGTTGGTTTAATCTTCTAAAAACATTTTTGAATAATTGATCGCCCTTTCACGTAAAGATTTATCAAATCATGCATCAAAAAAATTCACAAAGTTATCATATCTATTAATTAAAAAAATTTCAGGGTCCGCCAGGCTTACCTGGAGAGCCGGGAACTCCAGGACGTCCAGGACCGGATGGTCCACCTGGTCAACAAGGACCACCCGGCCCTCCAGGCCCAGCTGGTCCACCTGGCGATGACGGAGCACAGGGAGCACCAGGACAACCAGGTCCACAAGGTGAAAGAGGCATATGTCCGAAATACTGTTCTTTGGATGGTGGTGTTTTCTTCGAGGATGGAACAAGACGTTAATCGTACCAAGCTGTACAAAAGCAAACATATGAAAAATACCAAAATCATCAAAAAAACTGTGAAAAAAAATACTTCCAAATCCAAGCTTGCTGTTCCATAACCATTTCTTGGTTACCATCCCTGCAATTTACTAAAATGAGAAATCTTTGAAAAAAAAGCAAAGATTTAGAACTATTAATGTAAAGGACAATAAAAAGAATAAGAGATAATAAATAGTGAATTTTTGTTATTCTATACTGAAGATCGTCTGAAGAAGGATCCAAGGATTCAACAAAAGTATAAAAAATCAAAGCTGGCCTGAACTTATCCAGCCTGCGCTTTGATTGTGATAATATTATATTTTGATCGAATAATCGAATAATAATTGATTTTCTTTCGTCAATTCTTTTTTAGACGATTTACTAATGTTAACTGATACATAAAAAGAAACGTCCATTACTAATAAACTAATGTCAGTTTTGCTAAAAAAATCTAAAAGCGATGAGATCGAAATATAATAAATAGCTTACAAAACTCGAAAAGTTTTCAAAGTATATAATGAATGAACTTTTTTATTTTGAAACAAAAAACAACACCAACAACATAAAAATTTATCGAATCAAAATATAGGTATTTTGCTTTCCCCATCCACAAAGATCGATGTAATATTTCCTGATTAAAAATAATAATTACTGAACCACTTGAATGGAGTTTGGAGAAATAATAAGAATCTATAAAATAATCCCTATTTAGACCACTGGAAAATTAGATATATGAACAACTTAAATCACGTAATTATGTGTAAATATGACAGAAAAAAAGAAATACTTTACATTTTTTATGCTGAAATGGGATTGATTATTTTTCGGGATTGACCTTTATTGCCGAAATAATTATACCACTTACAACCAGCTGCTGCATAACGGGTCTCGTATTCTGTGGAAGTACTGTATGTGAACGCAGAAAAGCATCATGAATTTGAACTTCTATAGCATCTCTTGATTTCAACCAATTAAAAGTATCGATTATTACCTTCAAATTGTTTGAAAATGAGTAAAAGAGATCGATTGATCAATTATATAAATTTCTTTTTGTTCAAATCATATATTTAATGAAAAAAAAAAATTAGATTTATGAAGGAGAAACGATAAACTACGAAAAATCATAACTTCCATTTTAAATGAATAATAAATATAGCTGCATTTTTCTTAAAGATACCACTATTAATGCATTACATCATTACTGCATTACACATTTGTTAGAATATGCTCTAATACAGCCAATATCGGTAGATTTTTGTACATTTTTATAAACTTATTGAAAATGAAAAATTTATACCTCTGATATCGAAGAATATACGACAATCCTTGAAGCAAATGGAAGCGATGACCATACGTACTGCAAAATATCAATGGGCTTAACATCCTTCGAAATAATAATAAATGAATCAATTTCCTGACTAATAAATAGCTTCCAAGCGATTCTTTCCGTTTCTAACCGTTCTCTTCGACGTTTGAAAGCTGTTTCTGGTAACTTAAACTGTTTAAATAAAGAAAAATTGGCGTATATCAACAAAGTAAAAAAAAGATAAAATTCAAAATATTATTCTGGGGAAGACGAAATTTTTTCGAAAATTTTTTTATAACTCTAAGAAAAAACGAAATTGAGATTCAGAAACAGATGATCTGAACTAGTAATTTTCATAAGCTAATTATTCGAAAAATGAGAAAAACCTCTTTCTAAAGTAAATTCAGTAAAGTTTATGATTTTCATGATTTAAAAACATAAAATAAATATAAAAATATATAAAAAATAAATATAAAAATATAAAACGGAATGAGAACATAAAAAGTTGAAATTCTAAGATATTTCCCGGGATTCTTTTTGTTAAATAAGAAAAGAATATGAATAACATATTTCAAGCTTACTTCTGGATTAGAGGGATCAATTTGGTCATCGACTGGCTCTACAATAGATCCATTTAATAGAGTTGATATGCGCAACGGAAGAAATGTAGAACGAACCTAAATATATATGTACAAATTTAAACTATTGAATTGAATTTTATATAGCCCATTTGATATTAGACAAAAATAATTTTTTTGAATTACAGTCTGCAACACTTCATTTTACAGTATTTCCAATAACAGGATGCTTTTTTTGTAATTATTCATTTTAATTAAAATTTTTTGATTTTGCTAATGAAAAACTTGGCTTAAGATCAGTAGCAGCATATTTAGAACAAAAAATCGATTCCTTAGATGAAAACTTTTTACAATTATCCCCGTTTGATAATTATTAATTAGCATAAATATGTCGACTTTCTATATTGGACAATATAAAATTTGCGAAAAATAATATGAAAAAAAAATCTTTCGAACTTTTGAGTCGAAATTCATGCCATCGATACAAGGAATACTTTGAGCAGTACTACCACGATGAAGATGAATACATGCACCATAACCACCAAGTCGATCAATTACGGCAGCACTCATTAGTCCAGCGCATTGCTCAAATACCAAGCAACGTGAGCCAAAGTGTACAGCACTTAATGAAAGAATATGCGACAGAAGATCCAATCTGTAACCGAAAATTTTTAAAATCTATTTCATATTTATCTTCAACTGAAATTATGTGAAATAATAAAAATTAGAAGTTATAAATTTCCAAAAATTTCCAACATCAGAAATGTATCAAAAATGTATGAAAAATTAAAATAATATGGAATATTCATAGATTATAACTTTTCATCCCAAAAAAGAGAGCCAAATACTAAAATTATTGTCGAATACAACGGTACTATTAAAAAAAAAGGTAATAAACAATAAATTAGAAATTTGAATTTTAGCTATTCATTCCCATTTCGAGTAGAATGGTCGGTGTTATTTTGACTGGGATCAAGCATCACTGGTTTAATTTTCAATCTTTGACAGCAAATCTTGCTGTATTTCAGACATTACGACATTACGACGGTTCAAATCAAAAATGGTGAATGCTGACGGGTCATTACACTGAACTGTGACGTTGACTTACCGCAAATTAGCAATTCTTTCGGGGTCCTTTGTGTAATATGATTGTGCGATAAGTCGTATAGAAGGCTTAAGTATAAGTAAACGCGATGAGTGTTTATTTTCTTTTCGACGAATATACTTCTTTTTCGAGTAGACAGTTCGTTCAGGAAAAGACAAGTTACCATCAACCAATCTAGCTACCTGCAGTTGGTGGAATAATGATGCTTCACTGAATATACAGTAGAAATATTCAAAAGAAAAATGAAAAAAGAAAATTTTTATTTATCCTGATTCAATTCGACAAATAGGAATTGAATCGATTCGTGTCCTTTCATGAGAATTAGAACATTCTCCCTCTACCTTTTTCCAAAAGAGTATCACTCTATTAATCGTTGGAAATAGCCAAACCAGAAATGGTACGTACTTTTATAAGAAGTAGAATTACAAGTGAAAATGTAATTAACGAACCAAATGCTGAGCAGGAAGACCATCCTTTTTCATTTGATGAATTTCTTCCTGAGAGACTTTTTGGCGAGATCTGCTTAAACGTATCATCGATTCATTTTTTACTAATTTTTCCGCGACACACTGCATATTTTCCAGTGCTAAATCTGGCCTGCTATTACTTTCCAAAATAGAACTATTTCCGCCATCAGTTTTATTTCTATTATTATCTGCTGACGATGTTTCACATGACGATTCCGTCAAAGTAGATTTGTCAGTTTGAGAAAAACCTGTAATTTGATACAATTGCCTAGCTTTATAAGCTATTCAAAATACAAATAAGAAGTACAAACCATGATGCTCCACGGTCTCTGAATTGAGAGCCGAAGGACAAATACGCCTGAGTTTTCCAGCTGACGCCTAGAAAATTTTATCACACATTGAACAAAAATTTTATTAATGATTAGACGATACAATTTATATCTTTCGTTCTTATTTAAAATTATATATCTCCTGAGCACGACTTAGAATTCAAAAAATTTTAAAAAAGTGGCTAGTGAGATTCCCCACATTTCAGGCTTTTCTCCTCTATTTTCAAACAGCTTGCACCACTCCTCGTTCTTCTCATTCCATCAAAATGAGGATATTTTCTCAAAATATCATTTAGAGATATAAAGACACATGTTTCACTTTACTTTTAACCGCAAATTTTTTTCCTGTCATACGATGAAAAAATATTGAAAAATAAATTCGAATAAAAAACGAACCTCAAACAATCCATACGGTTGACCAATTGCATCGTCGAACCGAAATCTCAGTTTTTGTATTAAAATTTCCTGTTTCCTAGCCACTTTACATATTTTTATATGATCACCACCAACCTTTTGAATTGCCACATACAAACTGTTTTCGATCATTTACGAGTGATTTAAGCGATTCTTTTCTGCAAATGTTTTAATTATTCCTTTCTTTCATCTCTTTTTCAATTTTCATTATCGTCTAATTCATTGAAAATGAGATTTTCTAAAAACAAGATCCAAAACAAATATTATATTCGTGTAATATTCTCATGGAAAATTAACGATCTGATTAATTACCAGAGAATCATTACCAGAGAACATTACGCGCAGACACTACCAAAATTAATTTCCCTGCACAAATCCATATTTTGCAAAATTTGAAAATTATCGATTTGATGAATGCATTTATAAACCAAATAAAAAACAAGGAAAATATTTATTAAACAAAAAATAAATTTTAAATGTCATTTTACGCCGAATGGTTAGGAAAAGACGAAATTTAGATAAAATTTGGCCCTCGGATCGCAAAACCTAGAAATAATACTTTCTTTTCTCTTTCATCGAAGTTCTTTGGCATCACTACGAAATGAATATTAAGAAGACCGCACATCTCTGACTGCAGTTTATACTACCATTTTGTGAAATATTATGAATAAGAGTGGACAATATCAACAACCCGTTCAACCGAAGAGAACCCCATATAGCTGCAGATATAACCCCATATAGCTCCTCTCCTCGACAGTCTTCTCAAGACAGTTGCAAAGTTCGCAATCCAACACAGAACGAACTGACACCTCACAACTCGCCAAGCCTCGTGAAGGATGGTGTTCAAAACGACGACATACAATTATGAATTGATACCACGAAAATGAATTTTGAACGCACAATCCTGCCAGCTGCCCAAGGAGCTCAGATGATGCGAAAAAGAGTGGTTTCTGTTACAAGTAAAGCTTCGGATCTGGAAGCTTGGAAATATTTTAATCAGCGCAACCAGCCACAGACTGCTGCTGGGAAATATATATGTAGCAAAACAATGTAATATTATATTTCGGATGATTGAGAGCAATATTTACAGCAAAAATAATAACATAATTGTAATAATAATAATAACGCACATTACCTTTATTATACAGGACCAAATTTCAATTTACAACAATGTATGTTCATCACACGCAAAACAATAATAATAAATATTCTCCGAGATAATTTTAATTTCAGAAGAGTAATGTGATATATAACTATAATATTGCTTCGATTGTCCTATTAAATATCCTGGTTATTTTCAGGAGTTAACGATGATTCGACTGAAATTTAAGCATACAAATGGAAGAATGAATATTACATCACATGAATTTAACTTCTATTACGAGAATCATTAGAGTAAAAAAAATAAAAAATTTTCATAAAAAAATAAACAATTAGTTTTCATCTTATTAAACCATTACAAATATATTCTTGAAATGCAATCAGATATTTAGATAGATTACTGCTTTTTTTTAAAAAAATTTCAAGTTTAACTGTCGAAAGTCGATTTTCCTACCACCTTCTTCTGCAAAAATAGTTGGTCTTTTCACATACTTTTTTATCTTTTTATAATGTTTTGAAGATGAGAAGCCATATTTTTATCTGCAGTTGGAATGTTCTAAATTAGGATAGCAGAGCCTCCAAATATATTGGGTTTACTCTTATCAAGATCTAAAGCGATCAATATGGATTTGAATAAGGAAAATATATAAAAAGCCCAGAGATATATGAGCTTGAATAATGGTATAAAAGAATCGGAAAAAAGAGGAGACTTTTAATTACTTTCAAGAATCGAATCGGATCACAAGGCTTGGAAACCTCTCAAATTAGTGAGGCCATCTAAACAACCAGTGCCACCAGTTGGCAAAACATCGTAAACTCTCATACCAAACCAAGCGAAAGACAAAATTTCGCTGGGGATTGCCCCCAGCTAAAAACGACTTCTCTGTTAAACTGCCGAGTAATCAACATCAAACAAGTTTTATTCAGCTAGAGTCATATGGCTACAACAATAAGCCAATAATACGCCAATAAGCCTAAAAGATATCAATGAGGTTATACTGAACATTCATGTCTAAGGCTCTTCTCTTGTGTCAAGAAGATAATTTATTCACTTTCGCTTAATTAACATCTGCTTACTAGCGTCACACCATCTATGCTGTTCAGACTTTATTCTTTATCATTTTAGAAATCGAACCATACAATTTTTTACTGAAGGAATTTTCCGGGTCATCTAAGCATAAAAAAAATAAAAGAAAAAGATTTCGTTGTTTTCGTTGTCGAAGCTCTTTGTTGGCAATACTTTATAAAAGAAAATTTATGTCTTAACAACGCGCAGAATTATCTCCAAATTTCGGTACAAGCCGTTGATTTAATATAATCTAATACTTTTTCGAATCCTTGTGCTTCTTTGACTACTCGCCAAATCCTTACAGTTCTCTCTTAACATTTTAAAATCCCAAAGCCCCTTCGATACTTCCAATTAAAGTAACTTTACCTTTTATCTTTTACACTACAGTTTGCAATTGCAACCGTCACAAAAAAAATAATATAAAATCTGTTGCAAAGGTAATAAAGTGGAGACAAATAGCACAAGCATGGTATGGGATGGTTTAAGCAGCTGAATGGAGAATGAGTTAAATGATGGCACAAATGACTACGACAAAAGAATTTTGGAAATTTAATCTGGCTTTGATACTTTCCACAGAATACAATAGATTTTAAGAGATACCAAGAGGTTTCCGCAATGAACGAGATTCGTATGATTTTCGTAGTCATTTAAGGTAGAAACGATCGAACGTTCTTGGCTCAGTAATAAAATAACTGCTAATGAAAGTCGAGGCTTGGGTTTGAATTCGCCGAAATGCTTCTAAGAATCGGAGTAATGTTCATATCTCACCTATACTTTCAACGACAGGCTCTCTGACATTTACCTTATCCAACAAGCCAGCGGAACAAGTCAAATAGGTAATGGTGAGTGATCGAAGTGGAAGGAGTCAAAGAACATCAGTGGATTATAAAGGTACAGCGAGTTTAATATACTAAAAGCACTATAATATACTTTTTGACTACATCTGGTTTAATAAGATGTGAGACATGGTGTTAAGTATGTGGAAATTTAAAAACGTTTTACTATCTGGCTATTAAAAAAAAACGTCTCTTTACTTACAGTAGGACATAGGACTAAGGGGATCTGGAAGAAAGATGGGCAGGAACCTGAGAATCTTATCAAAGGATTACAACAATTATGAAAGGATCTTAATAAAAATTATAATGAAATGATTAGTCAAGAGATTAAGGTGATATAAAAAAGTTTTTAGTAATATTAAAAATGGCAAATAAGAGTATTCAGAGTAAATAGAGTAGCGATTCGAAGGAACATAGCGAGATTCTGAGCAATATTCCAGCATTATATAATACCTTCCAAGGAAGCTGACTGAGATGAGGAGTTTTAAAGATTTGTAGGATTTCATGGAATGGACATCGATGGTTACAGTGCAACTTCGGGGATGGAAATCCAAAACAGATGGAATAAAAGGATAAAGACAGAAGGGAAGATGGTCTAATGTGAATTGGAAAGGAATTCTAAAAAAATTTTGCAGGAAACAGATGGATTTTTTTCCAGATGCATCCATGTGTAGGCATATATATGCACACTAACGCAGCAAATTATTACATCTAAGGATGAATGTGCACATTAATTAAATAATAAAATCATATAGTAGTCGACATTTCCTGGAAATGATGATAATTAGATCGGACGCTGAGATAGTGATTCTCGATTGGGCGGTACATTGATCTAAAATTTTTTACAATTCAGGATGATATTAATAAATTCCTGTAGCATCCTGCTATGAGTAAATATTAAATGAGAAATTAATATTACTGGTTTATGAGCGCATTTATTTAGCACAAATAAAAATTGAACCAGCTAAATGAATCAGCTAGCACAGAGTGCATTTGTGCATTTCGTGCAATCAATTAAAACTATTTAAAATATGACAATTTTTTGCCAAATCAGCATTTCCTTTCCATTTTCCATAAATGTTGCTAAGAAATCGCCAGAATATTACGAAACAAGAGGTGGCTTTTATTAAAAAACAAAAATACCAGGGAAGATACCTCAATGTCGCATGAAAGTTACCGTTTTAATTTTTGTGGTTATTTTGATAAAATATGGTTAATTCCATGATTATTTAATCCTCGGTTATTTTGATCTTGCGGTTACTGCAGTTGTGCGGTTATTTTAATCCTCTCTCAACAGCTCCCATGAACATGAATGGACCAAACCAATCAAATATCAATATTGCCGACTAGCAATAATCATATCAAATCTAACAACTGAGTGAGCCAGCGAATGTGATGGTCAATTCTGAGCATTACATCCCAGGTTATACATCCTGCGGTTTCAGTGACATATTGATATATTTGCCTAAGAGCCAATCATCTTTTCGCGTCCTTTGCTTGCTATCCAATTAGCTGATTTTAAAAAAGGCCACAAAATAAAAATATTTAACAAGAAGATCAGCTTTTGAATATTTTATATCTCTCAGATTCCTCAATACTCTATTACCACTCTCTCCTTCTAATTGGCTGGCTCTACTGGTGATTTTTCCAAGATGTTTCCGAGATTTTCTAGATTTTACATCGCTGGGCCGCATCAAAATTTCTCCTGATATATTTTACCAATCAAACAAGCACCGAATTTTAATATGACAGATACGTTGACAAATGCCGCCATCAAAAATCTATTTAGCTGCAACACTCGTGAACACTACCTTATTATACGGCTGCAAGATGATTAATAAGAATGGAACCAAGGAGCTATGCAACCTTTGTCAAATCTGCCTAAAGCATATTTTACGCACCCAGCAGGAAGACCCTAGCACAGCCATGAAGCATCGCCTAAGATAGCTCCACCAGAGAAATTTATATCGCATTACACCTCTAATCCCGCAGCAACTGGCATCAGAAGCGAGAATGTACAATCATAAGCGAGAAAGCAATAACTAAATCGAGGTTTGAACAACTACCAACTGGCTCAATGCTTTTTTGCACAAAGACAGCGGAGAACGCAGCGCCTTTCAGACGTCGTAGCGGAAGAGTTTTCTTGGAACCAACGGAATCGTCAGAAATTGTGCGCATTATTTTAAAAAATTTCAACAATTTATGGAGAATAAAAATTAAAAGTTAAATAAAACAAACCTCAAAAGACACATACAACGGCAACCCATTTCCAACTTATTCACGTGACCTTCGACCTCGAAACACTCCCAAATGATTTTAATCGCTCCATCGATCTTTTTCCACCAATCTCATTCAACAAAGCAACACAGATGATACAGTAAAAGAATCAGATTATCGTGTTAATATATGATATATTTTCATATTTTGCAGCCTAATATTCTTTCTTCCAACTCTCGCCATTACTGGTTAGGCTGGCTCCAGTGGCTACAAGAGTAAGACGATTCCAAGGTGCGCGATCTGATGCCATCGTCGAAAGCAATTGAGGCCGTTCCTTTTTCCATTGTCTAAGTCTATATATTGCTGGTCCACCTATACGTTCAAAATCTTTTCTCACCGTATCAGTCCAGGTCTTGATTGGCCCACTGCGCTTTTGACGCCAACCATCACATGGTTTAGCAAGTAACGAAATATGCGTCAATTCCTGTGGTGGACGACGAAGAATGTGTTCTATCCAGCGAAGACGGCGCGGCGCTCTATGATAACATTATTTATGCAAGTGGTATTTGAACGAAGATGGATGCGATCATATCTTATCGGCTCGACGGATCCGTAATATGTACCTTATAGATAAGTGGTCAAAGGTAGATAACTTCTTAACATTCTCCGCTGTCATTGGCCATGTCTCAGAACCATATAGCAAGATCGAACGGATCACAGCTACATAGATGCGGACTTTCGTTTTTATGGTGATTTCGTTTTTATGGTGACGATGACTGCATAAAGATTTCGTCAATTGGAAAAAGGCATTTCTGGCTGCCGTGATCCGAGCTGTAATATCGTCTTTTGCCTGGCCATTTGGTATCAGATTGGACCATATTTCGGGAATTTCCTTAATCGGCAATGAATTTTTAAAATGAGGCATTTCAGCCTCTCGCACATAAGATTTTCGTTTTATTTACATTGATCCTCAGTCCGATTCTCGCTACAGTTGCTTATTTGGCATTACTTGAATCTCGTCATAACTGTCAGCAAAAAGGACTACATTATCAGCATATTCAAGATAAGATAATACGATGCTGCGGACTAATTTGGACCTCTTGAATGCTGATAAGTGGTGTCCATTATATAATCTGTTGCATAATTGAATATTGTAGGGGAAGGGACATCAGTTCTTATTTCGAAGGAGTCTGTCAGTTCCCCATATACACAAATCTTCGTCGACGTATACTGATAAAATACCTTTATGAGTCAAATGATCTTCTCTGGAACACCGTCTCGTGTCATCACCCTTCCAAGTGCCGCTCTATCAATTGAATCGAAAGCAGCCGCAAAATCGATGAAACACGTGACGTTGTGTTGCAAATATTTGAAGCAAATGTTCCATCATCTTTCTTAATGTGAATATGTGGTCATAACCACGCTCTGGTCTAAATCCAGCTTAAGGCGAGTCCTGCTGTCCCGTACTTCCATAAATCCATTGAGTACAAGGGAAGCAAAAATTTTCGCTGAGATGTCTAGTATGTTGATTCCTCGATAATTGTTGCAGTATGTCCTATTATCTTCCTTAAAAATTGGGAGAAGAAATCTTTGCTTGAATTATCTGGTAATATTTCCATACCAGAGAGTATATTTATTAAAGGTGCGTTATGAAGGAAGATGGACAAAGTTCAGCCGGCAGACCGTCTTATCCCGGAGCCTTATTGGCCTTAAGCTTATGTGTAACAGAAATTATTTCTTTCTCTGTTGGAGGCTCGCAATTGCAAGTATATAATTCGACGAACGTATAAGCTATATTAGGGATAAGCTATATTAGAGATGGCCTTTTATGGCTAAGTTTAGTCTCAAATGAATAGCAGCTTGATATAATTTGGATTTTATTAGCTACCAGAATTTCTTACATTAGAGTTACCAAAAAATTTTAGTATATTTCCACAAATCTGATGTTTTCATACAATTTTTAAAGAATTTTTCTGTGGAAATTTATATTTTTTACTTTGTAAATTATTAAATTAAATTTATACTTTGTAAATTTTATGTCGGTATTTTAATCAGAAGTGCTTTCCTTTCACTTTTTAGTATTCCGAAACAATTTTTTTACAAAAATTTTATTATTGTATCTTGGTGAATGTGGTTTTTTCGTTTCTGAATTGCTTTTGGAGTTAGAAGATATCGATGATTATTAGAGTTATCAGTGATCAGCAATTTTCTTAAATAATTCAGTCATTTTTGAGATCACCTTCAAGCCCAACTTCGGAAGTTCTTCCGAATTAATCGTCTATTAAGTATTAAATTCAGCGAACATTTCTATAAAAAAATACGACAGTTTTGAAAAGATTTCGTGCACTTAAATATTACTTTTGCAAGTACATGAAAAAATTTAATATTTTTTTGAGAGATTCAAAAGAGCTATGGAAATTTTTGTCACCAAATAAACATTTCGGCATTTTCCTTTTTTTTTTATCCATTTGTTATATTCGTTGTACTCGATTCACAAAAATATTCGCAGATCACCGCAAAGACTGTGAAATCTACTAGGTATGACTGATTTGCTGCCTTTGAAGGAGATGCAATAGTGCAAAGAAACTGTGTTGGTGATCTCAAGCGTTTAAGCGTTTGGTGCAAAACACGTCGGAAATATGAAAATCAGCCAATTCTCATTTATACCGAAATCTAATAAAAAATCCTCTAAGGAAAAAAAGAAGGAACTACGATCTGCTTATTTATCTACGAAGTGTTTCTATTGTTGTCGCGCTGAGAACGAACACGCCACCACTACACCCATATTTCTGACTAAGTGCTCGATACTGGTTTTTTTGATGTGAAAAATAAAAAAGAAACCAAGAAACGATCAACGGTCAGCAAATATTCAAAGATAGTCCAGTTAGAATTGGTACAAATTTGTTCCGAAGAAACGACCTTATGGATTTCATTCTTCCACGCCCAATCCTAACGTCCACGATTGATATTTGAAATTTTTATTTTCTGTCATCTTTCTATAAAAACCTATAATACTGCCTGCCACATTATTCACAATTACCTGTTTTTTCCCAATTCAAAAGCAATTCTTTTCCCAGCATCTTTGAACATTTTTTGTTTCTAACTTCTTTGTCTTCATCATATACTTTTGCATTTAAAGTGTGTTGCTTTTCAAAGGAAACTGGTAATTTATTTCATTATTTATGTTTTATTTGAATTTGGTGTTCTTAAAATCCCTTGCGGTGCATTTGTGAAATCGCTGCGTGGAAAATCACTCCACACTACGAGTTTACTTTTCTACTTGAGATGACATCAGACTCTCTAAGAAAGAAAGAAAAATTCTTAACTCCAATACTTCGGCAACTTTCGTCACACCATCGAAACAATCTATGGCTTGCATCGCACTCTTGAAAACTCTTGAAAAGATTCTTGAAAATAGCAACTCCTTTTTGCAACAAACTCTATGATACCAGAAATAAGGTCTAACACGTGACAAAAAACGTTTTTAGCAATTTCCTTAGCTTTAAAAATTTATATAATACATTCATAATTTTTCGAGAAAATCACTGCTCGTGGAATCAGCAGCTGTTCATCGAAATCTTAAAGAAACAGCTGACACCAAACGCCACTCTTCAGTCATATTTTACAACTGCATTTCGATATCTTCATATTTTATTTTACAACCATTCAAAGCCACTATGAACCTGAAGAGACAAACCTTTGCGCCACACACCGATAATCACTACGATAAACTTTATATCCACGAATGAAATTGCCTATATTTTTTCAAATGATAACATTTTATCATTCGCATAACACCTTAATTGCGAATAAACTAAAAGAAAGAATTAACTGAGACCATGTCTATGAGTGTATTATAAAATTTTACAAAGATCGGTTATGAAACAGCAGTGCAGCTCAAAAAGAAGCAAAATAAATCTTAACATTCATATTTCCAATTAGAGGGTATTCTAATAACATGTTTTCTTCCTCAATTTTCTAATCAATAACCGATAATTGTATCAAAAGAAATTAGGAAAGAAAATGAGCATACTTTCTTTTGAAAAAACTGATGAAAGAAACAACAAAGATGAAAAAATATACATACACGTATTGAGCAGGAAAAAAAAAAATAAATTACTAAATCGTTCTGAAAGAAAATTAACTTACAAAAAAATTTCCTTTCCATAACAACAGTGATACCGCAAAAAAAGGCTGAATTAGACAGATAAATAATAAACAGGAGAAGCACTAGCAACAGTTGATAATTAATAGCGACGATAACAATAAAATTCAACTTTTTCGGTCTCAATAAATAAATGTACAAATAAGTCAAACCATACGGTATTTCATACAGAGATCACCCTTTTTTCATCAGACTCTTTTATTTTTACAAAAAATTATAAATCAAGAACAAAATCGATAATGGGACTGGATGAAAAGAATTAAATAAAATGAAGGCGTAAATTAAAAAGACAATGCGATAAAATAAAAGTAACTCCTGAATCATTTGACACTTTCGCTTTCAAAATTCATTCCATTACAACCTTCTGTTCATAGTACTTGGCAAGTGAAAACGTTGAATGATGGCGACGACTGATGATAAGTGAGTGAGAAGAAATATCAACTTTTACTACAAAAATTATATGATAAAAAAACAAAAGCAAATTTTTATTAACAAATGAAATGACTGAGCAAAAAAAGCAACTCACATTTGATGACTATCGGGACGCAGTATAACAATATCCATCTGCTAAACACTGTTTCTCATCTTCATTTGTTTTCGAATACTGATTTAATAATCCTTCATTATTATTAATATGGATATTATTACCACCATTATCTCCACCATTATTTGATGTTGCTTCGATCACAGAAAGTGGAGCTGATGCAGCAGCTTTACGACATGTTCGTATATCGGAATTTACCCGTTGCTGTATCGCTGACATACTAGTAGTTCGCGGCACAGGCGCTGCTACCATATATTGCTGTATTGATGATTTGCTTACTGCTGTTGTTGCACAGTCGTAACTGCACCTAACTGTTGTCGTTGGTGTTGTTGTAGTTAGTGTTAACGGCGATGAAATCACATTAACTGGCAATGCATTCAATACTGAAAGGGTTTAGATTTTTAAGTTTAGTTCTTTTGAAAATACTTGTTTTCATCGCTCATCGTTCTAACTCAGTCAAGCCAGAAAAATATAAGAAACCAACGTTTTGCTTCAGATCTTATTGGAGTAACATGTGTTACAACTGATGCAGTCTTCGCTATCGTTGATATCGTTGTCACAGGCATATCTAGATCACCGACTGCAATCGGTTGCATTGTTTTCGCATTGTTAATGTCGAAATGACCTGAAGTAACAACCACTGAGGACGAAGAAAGCTATCAGTGGTTTTTGATTGTCACATTAAACGAACCAACAGTTAACCGTTTACTGCACTATTTTCTTAGACCATCTTACTCTGAAAAAATTTTTTTCAAACTACAAATACCACATATGGATCTTCCCAAATTGTATATTCCTTTCTTTTGGAAATTCACTTATGAAAACTTAATGAATTAGTTAACTGAATATATATCATCCAATTACAATAAAATAAGCCTTCACTGTACACCGACACCACAAGATAAAAGCTCAAAACTAACTATTACTGGAAATAGGAGCAGAAATAATTGAAGAGTGATATTCAGTGACATTTCCCGGAGTTGTTCTTGATGTACTAAACGTTGGTACGGTTACTCCGTTTCGCATTTTTGATACTGAGACTTTTAATAAATGACTTAGTTGTGGAGTTTTTTCTGGCAAATTGGCTAGTGATGACGACACCGATGGAAGAACTGTTGTCTGTTGGAGAGTAGAAGCAAATGATGGTGGTGGCTAAAAAAAATTATATCTCATTACATCTCAATCGACCAAAAACCATTAACAAATATAAGTTATAAGAAACCAAAAAAAACCTTTATTCGAGTTCCGCTGCCCACAATGGCTAATTCAAGTCGTTTAGTATCATAAGAACCAAGTGTCAACAGCGAATCGCCATTCGTCTTAGCGTCCATAACCTTGGAAATTGTTAACTGTGGGATACAATTTGACACTTTCTGCCGTTTAGCACCATTTACCTATAAATCTCAATAAATTCCAAAAAATAAACAACTGGATTTAAAAAAAACTTGCTGAATAAATGATTACTGACCAACGACCTATCAGCAGGCCGACAAATATAAACATTCTCTTGTGACGGCCCCATAGATGACTGTTGTTGTTGTTGAGATAACTCAACATGTTCCATACGTTTTGCGATAGCGTCAACCGGTGAACGATGTGCCGGCAGAGTAGTTCGAAATGCAGGATTATAAGGCGTTTGAGGTGTTTCAATATTTTTCGAAACATACATCGCCTCAGATGATCTAGGTAATGAATATGCAACCGATTCTTGATTAGATGATCCATAAGGATTTGTGACTGGAAATCGATTCGTTAGCATCGACGAATCCAAAACACGATTCTCCTGGAATCGCAGAAAAAAATTACAACTGTTAAGAAATTTTCTCATAGTAAAATAGTATATCAACGGGAAAAAATATCGCAAAAAATAAATCATTATGAAAAGGGAATTTTTTAATTGGTTCATCAAAATTTTAGCAAATTACTAAAAATTTTTACAATTTATACAAATAATTGCAACTTACAAAAAATAAAATGAAATAATGATTATAAATACCAGATAGTTGACTCGACGAGAACTGCTTAGCGCTTGAGGGCCTGATTGCTGAGATGGTATTACGTGTGTAGAGGTAGCAATCGGAACGAATGATGATGGTGATTGAAATACAGTGCCACCGGTCAAACTGCATGCTGTGACAACTAACTGACCATTTGCGGGTGTTGTGAGAACTGTTTCCGTATTATTAACTAGTTGATACGAATCAACCGATGAAGTTAAAGATCCATTCACACTAAAATCAACCGATAAAGAACTTGAATGGAACAGTAAATATTTGAATCTGAAAAGGAACTCAATTCAGTTAAATGGTGATTTTCTGAAAAAAACCAAACAGACCTTGATAGACTATTCCTGGTGTTTGCATAAAAACCATTAGCCTTTCGATAAGTACCCAACATTGATGACTGCACATCGTTGTCAGTCGTTAACCGTAATTCTTGATTATACATTTGATTTTGTACAATTCTATCATTCCTTGTCTTCTGAATATGACTTTAATTTAACTTCAGCTTAAAAATTTTTGATGTTTTAAGCCTAATTAATAAAAATTTTTAATAACATTTTCATCAAATGAAAATTAAATCAGTTGAGAGTTTTAATTTTTAAAAAATTCTTCAAGATAGACAATGAATTAACTTTCTCAAATAGCTATTAGCACACTGAACATTAGAGAGAAAATGGGGCATGTGTCAATAAAACAAAAGAAATATGGGTGTTTATTAACAAAATAAAAGATATATATATGGTTACATTATTACCAAAATGTTCGAAAAATGAAAAGAATTATTAACCTGTTCGAAAGAGGATGGTAACTTTTCATGTGAGAAACAATTCTGCAATGAACTTCTGATTACTGATGAGGACTGCGGGTCTACCCTTTCGTTATCATCAGAATCAGTTGATGTTTCCATATCATCATTTATCGTTTCAACAACTGCTGGCTGATATGACCTTAAATAACCAAAGCAACTAATTGTTATCGCTAATGATTAAAAATTTTAAAATTTTTTGAAGTTCTTCATATTTGAAAATACCTTGAGTTATTGAGAATACCCGCGTAATCAGCATATAAAAGTTCATCGGCCGTACATTGTGATGTAGAAGGACATGGATCAACCACATGGTCATATATTATCCTAAAAATGTAAAAATAACTAACCGATTAATTCTACTGCTTATTGAACATAGTAAGTTAGAACAAATTTCAGTCAAAATTCACCTTCCACCGCGGCCAAGCCTTCGTCGAGCATAGCCAATACGTTGTATTCCACCAAATATACTTAATGGTAAAGAGGTTTGATAAAAGTTTAACGATAAATCTTGTACAATCTTAGCAGATTTTTTATAAATACCCGATAACGAGGTCCGAGATCGATCACTACCTGTATGCTCAACGAGGTCATTATGTAATGCCCGTTCTGAACCTGTAAATTTCCTATTTAAAATCCTACTGTAAAATGTAAATCCAGTCTGACTTCACAAAATCTTGACCAACTCTTAATAAGATTTAAAACTACATAAAATATAACCTGTTCTCCTGTTATGAGCATATTTTCTAGAAATCCATGAAGGTAAACTTTCGCGATACATACATCCACGTCGACGTTTGAACGCATAGCGTCCATCAGCCGCAGAGTCAGATGAAGTAGCAGCATTTCTATCTACGCCAACTTTTGAGCCCGGTAATTGAAAGCATGTAGCGCCAACACCACTAATAACAAGTGGTGGACGATTCCATAACTGAAAGCAATATTTCGAAAATCATTGCTTAAGTCCGGCTAACTATATATCGAACAAATAAAACGATTATATCATAATAAAGCAAAGAAAGCAAAGTTTAAAATAAATCCAAGGATATGAATTTTCATGTGTATTATTACCTCAATATTTCTCTTCAGCCATGCGCGACTAACAATTTCATCATCTTTGGGCAAGTTGGCGTTTAAATATTTTCGACATTTTTTGTTTTTTGATCGTACAGGACTGCTGGTACTTTTTGATATTTCACTCTGCAATGCCTTATTTAAAAAAAAAAATCGAAAAAATTTTCCGAAATAACTGAATATTTAACTGAATATTTCAAAACCTATATATTTTTAATAAAACCTATATATTTTAAAACCTATATACGGTCAATAGAAGCATCTGTTCTCTTCTTACCAATGAGGATGAATCAGTTTCCTTTTCAGCAGCATTCTGCAGATTCTGTTCTGCTTTCAATTTCGCTACAATTTGATTGTAATAAGAACCATTCATATCATCGATGCTAGATCGAGCATTTGCTACCGCTTCATCCAAATTGACCAATGCTGTTTTTGCTTGCTCCCTTAAGATTTTTTAATTTCAAAGTACTCTCATTGAAAATTGAAACACCTAAGAAAATAAGTCAAAGAAAAAAACAATATTTGAACCAACCTTTTCTTTATCATGTTAAAAATCACAAGTGCTTTACAAAGATCATGCCCAAGTTTCATGATTTTTTCGTAAGAATCCTCATCATTTTTACGATTCTTTCTCGTCTGCATCTTCTCAGCTCGTCTTCGAAATGCTACATAAGGATTTGACGACCCTAACGAGTCGCGACGACTATCGGTCTTTATTTTTGGTATTAAAGATGCCACATTTCGCTGTGCGGCAACATCCTTAAAGTTTACAATCTTTGATACAATATCTTCATTACAGTGATAAACTCCTAAAATAAACCCCTAAAATAGCTGAAAAAAAATTTTTTCTTACAGTTTCAAAAAAAAAGGAGATATACTTTTCGCTTTTGCAACCAATAATCATAAACATCGTCAATGAGATCATCATCAAAATCTTTTAGAAGAGCGCGAGCTTCACTTGGCTGACAAATTTGTAAATCGCTGCTAGCACCTTCTAATAATTCCATCATTTTCTCGAAATCATTAATTGATATCGATGATCGATGATCAGATAACCAAATTTCATCTTCACTATCAATATCATATTCTGGTTGATCCTTTTCAATTGTTAATGACGCTAAATTTAAAGGAGCAAAATTAATTCAAGTCATTTTATTAGAATTAACAAAATTTGGCAATTAATGAAAAAAAACATATATGATTCATATTTTAATAGATTAATATCATATTTTAATCTGTGAGATCACAAATTATAAGCAAACGACCTCCAACGTCACAATGCTTTTTCGTTTCAAACCTCAAGGACAACAATCCCAATCTATTCATCATCCACTAATTTTTTTATAAAACGTTAATTTCTAATATTTGATTAAATTTGATTAACATTTGATTGAATAATTTCTATAATAGACTCGAAATTCTCTTCGATCAAATTAACATTTTCATAAAAAAAATTAAATCTTGACCCATTAATATATTAAAAAATGATACCTTGAACTTTAATTAAATGATTATTAGAAGGTGGTGGCTGTACAGGATAAATCGAATCATAACAAAGTCGGCCAACAAGAAATACCTTTGGTGTCGGTATAACATGATTTTCAATAGCAATTCCTGACGTACATGCCTGCTGTGCTATTATCGCTTCTTGCAGATGTGATTCCTGCAAATACAGAGAAAAAATATTTGGACAAATGAAATGAAGAAATGAACAAGGAAAACAAAATTTATTTCTCTATAATTCATAGATGTCTGACTCCTTACAATGATAAAAATATTTACAAAAAATTTTATATTAAGTGAGAAAAAGACTAGCTTATCATAGACTAGTCTTATTATTTTCTGGCATATTTTTCGTTCATTTCCACTAATAAACAAAATAAAAATATAAAGAAAAAACCGAGAAAGATAAATCGAAAATTAATTAGTCTTCTAAATCGTTTACCGACTTCAATTATTTACCATTCAGTTACTTATCATACTTATCATTAACACCAACCAATTACTGGTCCAATATTGCTCCAATTTAGGAAAATCTTAAAATTTAAATTCAATCAAAAATAATCCATTATTAAAATAATTGTCCAATCATTCATTCATTTGTTCTAAAATGGAATCGATGGTTTTGAAAGCCGAAATTTCAAAGATCCAGAGATACTAATAAAAGAATGCTTAATTTTCCAAAAATATCAATAAAATGCACAAATGCATTATCAAACATAAAGTCCCAGTCAAGAAAATTCAAATCTACTTTCCATTGATTTCTATTATTTCATTCATCCAATTAAAAAGTTCCAACAAGAAACAGTGGCTTAAACCAATTCGCTGAATTAGGAGACCACGAAACCTCTTATCCAACCAATCAAAATCTTAAATCGAAAATTATGTGCTATTATGCTAAAATTATATACCGCAAATCTTTCGATAAAGTTTTATTTAATCCAAAAAAACTTTTATTTAATAAAATCTTTCTCTTTCTTTTGAAAAAAAATTAATATAACTAAACACCGATCTCTAAATTTTTTTAAGCACCAATTCTTTGCCATTTACAAATAAATAAACAAATAATCGACTGAAATCACGAAAATATATTTCTGTAATATTGAATTAAAAAGCTCTAATTTATTCTCGATGAGACAATGAATGAACGAGAAAGAAAAATTTAGGGAGAAAAGAAAGAGGACGAAAAAAATCAGCTGATTTTCAGTGAAAAACATCAAAACAAAGATAATTTCCTTGCTGCGCTATGTCGTTCAACAATAATATATCGAATTATAATTACATTAATATTAAATTACTGCTTCTAAAACCATTTTTAATATTGTCAATATCATAATTATCGATATTGTTACTACAGGTATTTTTACACACTTTTTTTACTAATATATTTTTTTACTTCAGATCATTAGTTGGGCCATATCATGGCATAATAATTAACCATATCCTAAAGCATCTGGCTGCTGATTAAGAACTATGACTGAAAAAAACAAAAACCTACCACTGTTAGCTCCTAAAGTAGTTACCTTATCCTAGAGAACCAACCATAAAAAAAGTGTGACTAACCATAATGAATACAACTCATTTACTAATTATTATTGGATACATCTTACATGCGCTATCGATTTTCTATTTTCCAGCACTTTACAATTTCATATTTTTTAATCATCTTCAAATTTTTTTCTAAATTAATCGCTATTCTATTCTTATATTTTTCGACATATGAACTTAACTTAAAAGAAAGTTTTTCTTGATATAAGAAAAATTACCTACAGAATTATCGTCTATCAATTATCGTCTATCAAAAAAATCGTGAATGTATGAATGATTTCTGATTAAATAAAAATTCTGGAAATCAAATGAGTCAGTCGATCCATCAATATTATAAACACAAACAAATTTTTAAATGAATAAAAACTTTCTGAATGAAATGAATAAAATAATGGTTTTCTACATGAAATAAAAATGAAAAAAATATTCAAGATTTGAATTAAGAGAAATGAAATAATAGGACAGATAAACGAAAAATAGCTGTTACGATGCAATAAAATGAGTGAAGGAATAAATTTCCTTGTTTTCTTCTTTTTCTCTTCCTTTCAACAACCAAACTAAATTATTAAATTTACTAAATTTAATTTCTGTTATAAAAAAGCCGTTTATTTTTTCGTCCATTTATTATATGAAAAAGACAATTATGTCATTTCTCGATGAATCATCGTGAAATTCTCGATGAATTTTTTTATTCCCATTATATTTAATAGCAATCAAATAGAACAAAATGTCACTTACTTGCCTAGTAAAAACAAGAACACACAAATTAAAAGTAAATGTAGTATGTAGTAAAAAAAGAGAAATTGTAGAAATGAATTACAATCAAACTACCAAGCTAATGAAATATATATAGAACTAACTTATGGTTTACACGATAATACTAATACTAATACTACATGATGCTAATAAGCTTTCTTTTAAAATTAAAGTCATATAAGGTACAGACAAGGCCATAAAGTAATCTGTTCCAGCAGTTAATGCTAGTGTAACTCATTCAAATAATAAATGCTGAATATTCCAGAAAAAAAAAAAACAAGAAGTACCACAAGACTTGAAAATGAATGAAATTTTAAAATTGTAAAGAAAACCGCACAAAAAATTCGTATTTTCAAGTTCAAATTCACCCTTAACTAATTCAATTGGTCGATATAAATTATCAGATCTGAAATACGCTGAGAAAAACAAAACAAAACAAAAAGGAGAGGAATTCTGGTGTAATTATATTCTCTTAAGTATAATAGATGATGGATATATTAAAATAAAATAGAAAATATTAATGGGAATTACAAGCAATAAAAAACTTAGATTATTCGGATGACTGCAAAAAAACCTTTTAAAAAACGAAAAAAATTATTGTATAAAGGCTAAAAATTTAAATTTGAAAGAAAAAATAAAATTAATAGACATACTTCTATTCGAAAAATTCTTAAACAACTGGAACAAATCAGAACGTGTTAGTTACCTTTTAAATTCCTTAAAAAAATTTCTTGTGAAAACAATCATAATTTGTACAAAAACAAATAACCATCAAATAATCATTTTGAAAATCACATACAAGTAAAGGAACCTAAATTGAGGTAATAATAATAATTCCAACTCAATCCACGAAAATTTATAAAATAAAATAAAATAATTTGAAATATACTAAGACTGAAAATACTGAGAAAGAGAAAAATACTGAAATAGAAAGATTTAAAAATAAATTAGAATATTATGCGAAAAAACTCATAAACTGCAATCAATTACATTAAAAAATCATGTTTGGTGAAACCCATAGAAACTCAATAGATGTTCAATAATTCACACATATACATCACTCACGAATATACCCCCCCCCCCCAACTAATTTTTAAGAAACAAATACCACTATAACGAGTGAACTAAACGAAGCAAAATTTCGAGGAAAAACTTTTAAATCTTAATTTATTGATATTAACATGAAACCTTCTATTCATTTATATATTCAACAACCCAAGAAAAATTTTTAAAACACAGGTTAATACAATATAAACCATGTTAATGAAAAATAACCGAAAAATGACTGAAAAATAAGACGTGAAAAAAACGAAATGTGCAGCAAGAAAGGAAAATTGAAATGAAACTCAAATCTTTAAGATTTACCAAATATTGCTGCCAAATTGCATCGGATAAAAAAAAAATTTAGCAGAAGAAATCAAAAAATGCAAGATAATGACCGATTACCGATAAGCCAAATCTTCCTAGGTTGAAAAATGAAGCAAAATCGATAAAAATAATGAAACTAAGAAACTATATAAAAAACGTGAAATTTATCATTTTGCCTATGATAAGCTATTTGCTAAGGATAAATGTTGCAAATAAACTTCATCATATCAAGAAGCGATAAGACTTTTCTACGTTTCTTTTGTTCTCACTATTGAAAATACACTTCCAAAAGATTTCAAGAATACCCTTGACCCTTTCAAATTATTAATGCGAACAACGTGGATATTGAAAAAATTAAAACCAACCATTTCTTCATCTTTTTCCATACCAGTAGGCATTTGAGCAACAGCACGATTAATTGGTGTGCATTCATCGAGATCAGGTATTTCATCAGACAGATAAATACGCATTGGCCTTGCAACATCCAATTGTCTTGCACGAAATGATAATTTTGACGTGCCAGCTGATGTAGCTGACGTAATATATGACGCGGATAACGCCATATTTCCTTCTTTTTCTTGTTTCTTTTTTTGCTTTTTTAAATCAGTAGAAAAATTAGAAACACGCAACACGTTTAATAATTAACGTATGCGTGCGTTGGTGCGCGTGCGTCACGTTTCTTACTCTCACTTTGTAACTGATATAGATATAAAAAAATTTCAGTTTATAAAATATCGACATGAAAGAAAGAAGTTGAAAATAATGGGCGATTAGCGTAACCGCCGTGATAACTGTTGGCGGGTAGCTCGCGAATTACGCGATTTTCGCGATTATCGATTGATTTTGACGTTTTTTCTCCCTTATTTTTCAGCGTATATAAATCCACGTCTCAATGAACATTCATCGTATAAAATTTTATAATATTGAATATAATATTGAAATAGGCGAATTGATTGGCTCTTCGTTATACACCAAAGACAAAAAACTTTATCAATAATAACTAAAATCGTTTAAAAAATTTCTCCTAAAAAAATAAATTATTTCAAATAAAAATATTTCAAGAAAGAAGAAATGTGAATAAAATTTTACGAAATATCGAATTAAATTTTTAAATTTTAATTTTAAAAAATTAAAATTCAATTTAAATATTTCGTAAGGTCAAAGGTCAACCGAGAAAAATGGACTCGAAAGAATCGCACTTAAAGCATAAAATAGTTATTTTAAATAATTTTAATAATAAAATTAATTTAAGAAAAAAAGCCGAAAAGAATGAATTATATTCGATCGCATCGTTGGCTTCGTTGCTTCCCTTATACAAAACACATTTCGCAGTTTGTGAAATTCTTCGCTATAGACAATTGAAAGATACGCACGCCGATACGCACGCACCACCCTCTGTCTCTCTACCAGACTGTGAAATGTTTTCTATTAGCCACGGGATTTTCATAGATTGCTAGACTACTTGAGAAATTTACATAACACGTATTAGAGAATTAGAGAAATAACTTTCACTTAGAGTGATGATGAATAATGAGAGAGTACAGGCGCAAAATATGCAATAAAGAACACCAGTTGTGCAATAAGAAAAAAGGGAAAAAAGAGAGTACAGAGACTCTGCAAATAATGGAGTATTAGAGTGTGAAAGAAAAATAATAAACAATAACTTTTGAAGAGAAAATCAGATAAAAAAGAAATTATTGAATAGATGCATGGAACACTTTCCTCTCTCCTTGCATTGTCTTTTAAATAATTCTCTCTTTCTCTGTAAAGAATCCTTTCATCGTTAATTTTCTCTAACACTCTATTCTTTTCTGTTAAATGTGTAAGAGGACGGAATTTTATTGATTTTCTAGAGAACATATAGTTTGAAGGGACGGAAGATAGATCAGAGAAGGGAAAATGTAATTCGTTGCAATTCAACTGAGAAAAATTTTACGAGGGACTGTATACTTCGAAAAGTTAAATAAAAAATTCAAAAATGGTTGGAGGAGGATGGAGAGATTGAATAATTCACCGGAGGTACCACAATATTCCAGATTGCCGACCACCTTCTCTGAAGCAACGGCTTAAAGTGTAAAAGAGCAAAGAAAATGGCTTTGACTAGAAATAATCGATGCGATTGGAACTGAAGTACAGAGCGAAGCAACAAGAAAAGAGAAATAAAATGCACGAGAAGGGAGAGGGGTGGGAATTTTTGAATGAATTCGAAAGACCTGTTATGCGGGTTTATGACTATTACATTGTTACGGGTCGCCAAATCATCACATTGTCCTACTTAATTTTTTGCTTTTTATTAATCGTTTTCATTTGTATAGTCTACCAGTTTTACTGTATTGATTCGTTAAAGTTTGGCCGAAACAGTTATCCTTTTTGAAGTTCGTTCCCTTGTTTCACAAATTCGATTGGCAAAGCTTGCAAATTTTTAGTTTTTTAAACTGGAAATTTATTTGGCCACTGAGAGTGGAATTGATCGAGGAGGTTATCCAAACATAGAATGCATTTCACGGTACATCTACCTTAACAGTGAACCAAACAGCGATATATGGACTTAGACGATGGAAAAAGGAATGGCTTCTGTGACTGTCGACAATGGCGTCGAATAGCTTGGAGACTTCCCTTGTAGCCGGCGGAGCAAACCTAATCAGTATTAGTGAGAACTGTTAGAAGATTTCGAACACACATCTCCAGTGATATACTTGCTTAGATGATGGCTTTTGTTGCAATGAAATATGGCAAAGGACCGAACAACTTGGAAAAGCTCCATTCTTGCGGCCTGGGAAACCAGCCTGGGGAATTTGCAGCGATGCGAGCTTAAAAGGAAAGAAGGCGTATTCAGAGAAAACGAAGCTGCTTAGATATCCAAATTCTGGTCTGCTTGACTGGCAAATTGACTGGTAGGTTAATGTTGTGACAGAATATCATAATAGACTTGTTGTTTGAGGCTTATTGATTCGGAATCAAAATTCCTGTAAAATTCAATAAGCTTAAATCTTTGCTACCATCGTTCTTTCATCTTTTGAATGAACCAATGTGATTTGACCTTTAACCCTTTTTGGCATTTCGGCAAATAATTTTCAAGGCCAATATTGCAAAGATGGCACCTTTGTTTCCATTTCAGGAAGTACTGAAATTTAATTTTTCTTCGACTTGACCTTTCGATCTATTTAAAAAGGTCATAGGTCACGGTATATTAAATGAATTTATTTATAATTTTCTAAATATGTTAGCGCGATGAAAATAAAAATTTAAGAATTTTCAGCAATTTCCTTTCCTAGCATTTTATTTCACCTTTTTCATAAAGGTATTTTATAACGATAAGAAAAATTCGCTGTTGACCTTGCCTCGTATTTGTATAGGTGATGACTGACTGGCTGACTGACTCACTAACTGGCGATCATCATATGACTACGATTTGACGATTTCTACAAAATTTTTATGAAAGAGGGACCAAGAGGGACCAACTACCTTTAATAATAATTAAAAGGTCGAATGAATTATTTATTTATTAAATTAAAATCAAAGATAATTTCGTATTAGTTCAAGAAAAAATATTTTATAAACTTTGAATTTTTTCCGCAAAATTTCTCTTTTCCATTTTTATAATTTTTTGAATTTTTCAAGGAAATTCTTTCAATAATTTATCAATATTGGTGATTTCCAAACATAAAAAAGGAAAAGTATAATTCCATAATTCATTGCATACAAATAAACGATTAAAGAACGTGAAACGCCGATTTTTAAAAAACTGTGAATCAGCTGATCGCTATTATTATTCATTCCATTTTATTTGACAATAATTTGACAATAATTTTTTGCTTGAAGTAAGTATTATAAATGTATACTTCAAATAAGCTAATTCACTTTTTAAATCGTTGTAGTGTCGAATTTGCAGTCGATCAAACTGCATCTCATTTGAAATCAATGCCGTTATTTGTTGTTTTTCTCCCAGAACGAAGAATGCATCAATATTAGATCTCCACTGGCTATAAGCGCTTTTAAGGCCTGCGATCCCAATACGGTATTTGGAACTAGTAGGAGAAAATCGTTTTTCCACTTTCATAATCCATAGGTAGCTTGGCCACCCAGCATTCAATTCCCTCTTCCACACCTATCAGCCCATGTTTTCAGTTTCACTGTTCACTTTTATTGCCGTACTTTGTACACAGCGATATAATCGATTCTCGAATGGGTGAAGAAAGATTTGGTCAAACCAGCGTTGGCACTTTCTGTGCAAATAGAGCTCCAACAAAAGTAGTTCCACTTTATGTAGGAATGATCAAATAAATGGGTTTTTAATATTTTCCGTGCATAACTTTGACTTTCGATGAACTTACTGCATCTAACATTTGCAATAATTCTTCATAATTATCGGCAGAAAGGACTCTTTTCACAGTATTCGAGGTTCTTAATGATGGGCTTCGGACTGATTTGCATGCTTTCCGAGTTCTAGTAAGCACTATCCATAATCACCGCACAGATGAGTATTGCCAGGGAGAGATCCATCCTATCACTGGGCGCAGCAGATAAAATCCTTTTGTCCGGACGCATCTAAGAACTGATTCCTTAGTAGTCCTCAGCAATACTATAGCTTACCAATGGCATTGAATAAATCGTTATGCCCTGCACCCTCTGAAAAGGTCATTCATTTCTTGAAGTTTGACTTGAACTTCTTGAACGTGACTACGCTACATCGCTTGGTTCTTCCTGAAATAACGATTGAAGCGGATTTTAGCTAAGTGTCCGAAGTGGAATTTGGATTGTATTCATTAACAAAATGCTAATTTAATCTGAAACGAGTTTTAAGGGTTGAAATGGTCGATGGAAATGATTTTTCGCATGAAGTTTTTTTGCATTTATACACTTCTTTAGTTGAATCTCAAATCGTTAATCGCTATATCTCCCCATCTGCAAAAGTAATTTATTTATTTTGGCTGAAAACGAAAAATGATCACCGTTGCAAAATTAAAATATTTTAATGATCGGCCATTCAACAGGGAATTTTTTTAACTTATATCAATTATAATTTATTAATTTATATCAATTTATAACTTATAACGATTAATAAGAGAATAATTGGCTAATCGCTTTTTCAATGTGTAAACCTGGTGAGCGAAAACATAGAATCTTATCAAACATATCAAACAATCTTATCAATGGGACAATAAATGGCAAAAACAGACAAAATTTAAACAAATCCAAATAATCGAAATAAATAATGACTGATAAATCTATCGTTCAAAATCCGAGCCGCGCTTGCTGTCCACCTTCTTTCGCACCTGGAAATAACGTATTGTCACCGCTCGCATTTTATTTCCGCCATACCAATTGAACAAATGAACTTTGGATTTGGCACAAAATAGGTCAACAGCAGAAACAAATTAGTAGCACTGGGTCTGAGGGTATCGAGAAGGCTGCCAGCCGTTGACTACTCGCAAGCGCTATCCGACCACCGTCGTGACGCGGGGACTTTTGCCTGCTGCCTTTCGGCCCTGAGCCATACGCCCCTCTTTACACAGACCAGCTGCCATGACATTCCTGCTATGACACCTTATCGACGCCACGC